AAAGTTCAGGAGTGGACTACAAGTCGCTCCCAAAGCCTAAGGGCCACAATATTGCTTAAGACACATTCGCCTCTTCGGCTTGGAAAAAGTTCAGGAGTGGACTACAAGTCGCTCCCAAAGCCTAAGGGCCACAATACTGCTCAAGACCCATTCACCTCTTCGGCATGGGCAAAGTTCAGGAGTGGACTACAAATCACTCCCAGAGCCTAAGGGCTAAAGTACCAAACTGGTAGAGACCACAGCACCTTACGGGCAGCTCGCTTCCAAGCAGCTCCCAAAGCCTAAGAAACTGAATCAGCGCTTACGACCTCGTTGACTTACGGGCCAAAAGGAGAAATCTACTCCCTTCGCCGAGTTACTTTCAGCTCGGGAGTGGGGGGCAAATGATGAGTGCGGATTTGGCCCTTTAATGACATTATGACACCTGACAGCCTCTTGACAACTAAGTGTAGCCTCTTGACAACTAGGCAGCTTGCCACTAGGCAACTCGCCACTAGGCAGCTCACTACAGGGAGATCGCCACAGGCAGCTCAGTCTCATGTAGCCTGGCACCTCAGAACAACTAGGTACACCCGAACAACAACTTGCCTTTGCTAAGTTAATGGTGTCCCACCAGGCGGCCTGGCCAGGCGCGAGCTGGTAGCCTAGCCCTAGCGTGACCTGGCCCTGGCACGAGCTGGCAGCCTGGCCCTGGCATGAGCTGGCAGCCTGGCCCTGGCACGAGTTGGCAGCTTGACCCTGTCACGACTTGGCCCTGGCACGAGCTGGCAGCCTGGCCTTGGCGCGACCTAGCCCTGGCGCGACCTGACCCTGGCACGAGTTGGCAGCTTGGCCCTGGCACGAGCTGGCGGCCTGGCCCAGGCACCGACCTGGCGGCCTGACACAAGTGCCAACCTGACAACCCCGAGGAGCTCACCACTGTACCTCACATTTTACGGGATTATAACTTGTAACGGCTATATTAGCTCACCCACTCCCCGAGTCAGGCGGAAATGGGCAAACTTACCAGTTGGTGGTTTTATCCCCACCTAACACGAAAGCAAGTCCTATCACAACGAGAATCCATGAACTGCTCCACTTTACCCACGAGGACTCCAGTATATAAAGACCTCACCCCCCATGGGCAAAGGTATGCGAGAAGAGGATGGGTAACCTCTGCTCTCTAGCTCTCCCATTCTTTAATATCATTCTCAACTCTCTCATTCTCTAATATCATTCTCAGCTCTCCACTAAGTGTTGACTTAGCCATCGGAGCGACCTCACCGGGTTAGCCACCTTGGGTCCTCTGACATTTGGTTCCTTGTAGGCCTCTAAAAGAGCACCAGGCAGCTCATCAAGGTAGCTCACCACTAGGCAGCTCGGTACCAGGCAGTTCGCCACTAGGTAGCTCGCCACATGCAGCTCGCCACCAGGGAGCTCCACTTCAGCCTCTGAGTCACAGGCCACTTGGAAGCAGACGAGATGGTGAGGTACTTAGCCAAAAAAAAAAACTGATACGTGACCAGAAACCATTAAATCAACTATCATGTATTTCCAGTATCATAGATTTTCCCTTTACCACGACTAGACCTGTTCATGGACTAGGCTTGGACTTAACTTTTGCCAAAATTTTTCAAAGCCCGTCATAGTATAAGTCAGGGCCGAAGCCTAGCCCATAAACAAGTCTAACCATGATACGGTGATCCAAGTACTACACACGAAGGTGATGGATTTGGAAAATACCTAACTAGATAGCCATAAATTCTCCAAGAAAGACACAATTTCAAGAAGCCTTGCTGCACACTAAAAAAATAGTGCAAAAGTATCATTTGTCTAAATCCAAATTTGAATTTAATTACACTAAGGCTATGTTTGGTTTGAAGGAAAAGGTAGGGAAAGAAAGAAAAATGTATGAAAACCTATACAAAATTTGTAAAGGTTGTCTTTTCCTTTCTTTCCTTACTTTTTCCTTCAAACCAAACCTAGCTTAAGGGTGCTCCAAATTTGATGCATTTATAATTGAATCGAATATGAATCATTCCTATCCAATTTGATTTGATATACTAATAAACATGGTTTTAAACTTTAAATGTTATATTTTTACTAAATCATTAACATAAGTTAAAAGTTATTTTCAATTGATTTTGTTAATGAATTATAACAATATATAATATGTTGGTCATTTTCATTACAATCCATATAAATCCGATGGACGACCGGATTCGAATCCAAATACAAACGATTCAAATTTTGATCCGATTTGATTGGATCCATTTTTGCAGCCTAAATGCGAGTGACTTCAACTCCCAAGTCTCAACTTGTTTTTACCTTCCGCCTGGCCGAATGGGTTTGTGGTTTATAGGGGGTTACTAGTAAGTTAGGAGGGGCTGTAAATTCAATTTCTGAGGGAATTGCAGTCCAAAAATCCCAAACAAAAAAACAAAGCCTTCCTTCCGTCTCCGGGATACATGTGAGTTCAGGGATCATTTTGTCAATTTCAACAGTCTAATGTAACGTTAGTTACGTACGTTACTACTCTCTGTACCGTACCGCTCTGTGTCGCTTCCATAGGTGAAGAACAGAACAACTACCCTGGTTATGGGACCAGATGATCCGAACATGGATGGGTCCCCAATCCACCCAGCATGTCTGCCACGTGACACTTTTCTTGCATCCGTGCCTTCTTGTTTCAAATTTTCTCAAAACGAGACGACACGTACACGCTTATGTCCGTCGATTTATTGATTAACGGCAACGGAAGCATCTCTAACCCGAGGCTCTCTCTCTCTCTCTCTCTCTCTCTCTCTCTACTCTACTCTACTCTACTGTAGTCTGTGTCCGAGAGTTGCAGCCATGGCTGTTTGTGTTTGATTCTCTCCTCAGTTCCCCTCAATTTCCCGCTTGCAAAGCGCGCGAAGTTTCTCTAATCGCATTAGTTCTCTCGTCTCCTATCCTCTGCTCCATAGAAACCTTAATTTGACTGCTTCTATGCTTCATTGAACAATGGAACTCGCTTTACGTTTCTGTCCCCGCGTTTCCGTTTCCATCCTTTCTTCCGGAAACCCTAAGTATATTTCATCAGAACATCAGCTGAAATGATCCGTAGTATGAAAATTCATAGTGAATTCCATCTAGAATTTGTTCTTTAAATCAGGCTTCCTGAATCAATTTGAGAGAGAGCTGCAATTTTCCTTGCTATGGGGTTTCGCATTTTCTCCATGCATTGGTTTATTGTTATTTGAAGGTTGGAGATTTGTTAAGGTTTAAGAATGGCAATTGTGACAGGAGATAGGTACCTTGAATACCTGGTGAAGTTCATTGAGAAGCAAACTGGTCCTTTGATTGAAGGAAATTTGGTTTTGAAGTTAAACCCGGTCGGGCTTCACTACATTCAGTCGAGGCTCGAGGCGTTGCAAGAACTTGAACGTCTTCTAGGTGCTGCTCCCGTTGATTACTTTCGGGCTTACGTTTCTGATCTCGGGGACCACCGGGCGCTCGAGCAGCTCAGTAGGATTCTCCCGCTAGTGACATCTCTGAAGGTTGTTTCGGTGTTTCCGCCGCCTGCTAGAGATCCGACACCTCTGTCACTGTTGCCCTTTGGACGGCTAAAGTATTTGGAGCTTCGTGGATGTGATCTTTCGACTTCGGCAGCAAGGGGACTTCTTGAGCTGAGGCATACTTTGGAGAAGCTTATTTGTCATAATTCTACTGTTAGTTTTATTTCATTGTCTTTAAAACTGTTTTGCTTATCCTTTCTGGTTTCTGTTTCTCATGAAGTTGATCACGTGTACTATCTACTTTTACTTTGTGCGAATGTGCCTATGCAAGTTTCTAAAAACATTTGACTTAATTTGTTTCTCTGAATAATTTAGGATGCTCTTCGGCATGTGTTCGCCAGTAGAATTAAGGATATAAAGGAATCTCCAGTATGGAATCGATTGTCATTTGTTTCTTGTGCATGTAACGGTTTGATGCTAATGGATGAGTCTTTGCAACTGCTTCCTGCTGTTGAAACACTTGACCTAAGCCGAAACAGATTTGAGAAAGTTGATAATCTACGGAAATGTACAAAATTGAGGCACCTAGATCTTGGATTTAATCATCTGAGGACAATCACTTCATTAAGTGAGGTAGGGCTGTTTACATTATGACTTCTTATAATAGTTTGTGATTTGATTTCGCTGAGTTGTTGAATGATGCATAAATTCATCCGACTTGCATCTCCCTTTTAGATAATTCATTTGTTTGACTTTCAAACTTCAGATGTTGATATCGATGCTTTAATCAGGTAAGAGGTTATATACTTATATGCTTATTTTGCATTTTTGTTGATCATGCAAAATGTCAACTGTTGGTAATGTAATGCAGACAAGTACGTTTATGCAATGGGTTGTTAGGGAATTAATGGCATCAGCTTGTTCATGGTTTTGACTGATTTTTTTTTTTTTTTTTGGTATAAAAATACAGTGGCTGTTGATAATACTGTATAGAGATTATTGTACAGTGGTCGAGGGTCCTTCTCCCTCCTTCGTAATACAATTTTATTTCACTTTTCATAAAAAAGAAAAAAAAATACAAATACTTGCAAATTGGATGAACTTTTCTAAGCAGGTTGGTCTTGTGGCTTGTACACCATTCTGAGGGAGAATGAGCTTTCTATAATGTAGAAAATTAAGTGAAAGTTATAACTAGCATATATGCAAACATCTTATAAAGGCCACACCTTTAACCATTTGTAGGAAGGAGTTATCAAATAAATTTTTTAAGCCCATAAATGAGAAAATATTTTCAAATAAAGACTAAAGCCCAGCCCAAGTTATTAATAGGACGTAGAGAATTTTAGTGCAAATGATTGGGGTGGATCAATTAAACCTTAATGGGCTTCACAGGAATGATCAGATCTGGGTGGAATGGACACCCCTTAATTAGCAATCAATAAAAATAAATCTTGATGCTTCCTGGAAAGAAAACGAGGAGACTGCCATTGGATGTATTTTAAGAAACCTGGCAGGAAAGTTCTTGGTTTTAAGGCTAGGCTAACTGGTAGAACTTCAATCAATGTTGCTGCAGCACTTGCAGCTAGGGAAGCCCATTTGATGGAAAAGGAATGGATACACTTAACATGCATATTGAAGGAGATTTGATGAATGTTATTGCAGGAAAGTTCTTGGCTTTGATGAATGTTATGGCAAAGGAATGGAGACACTTGCAGCTAGAGCAGCATATTTTTTTCCATAAAAATAAAGTTATTGCATTGATTTTTTGCTAAGTGGGAAAAAGAAAAAGTTCAATTTCAAAGAAACAGGGCAGTTGTTTTGTTTAATACGATAACTTAGCTTTTTCAAGGAAAAAAGATTTCTTATTACAACTGACTGGGAAAAGCTTTACAGGGTTCATTCATTGGTTTTGACAAGAAACCATCAAATCATTGTCCTATCTTGCCTGATTTGATGAATGTGAGGAGGCTGATTCCTTTTAGATTTGAAAGATGTGGATCACTTATCTGTTTTTCAAAACAAATGTGGGAAAAAAATCCAACCTAAAAGTTTAGAATTGCCAGAATTTGTTCTTAGGGCTGGAAGTGGTATCTATTTGTCAGAATTTGTATTTGAACCCTTGATCTGGTTAAGGATGATATGAATTCAATCTATTTATAATTGGATAGAATATGGATCCATCCATATCAAATCTGATATGATCTGATCCGGTAATATTTGAACATCTATATCTATATATTAAAATGGAATGTGCCAAGGTGGCATTTTCGTGCTTTCTGGTTGCTTTTGAGAAACACTTATCTTTTAGAAGTTTTTTTTTTCTCATTTTAAAATTGAACAAAATAACTCAAGTGGCCAATAAGCTTTAAGACTTTTATCTCCTCTCATTAACTCACCATTAGCTCTTTCTCCTCTTTCTCATTTAACTCTTTTAATTATCTCTTCTCATTAACTATGTCATTAACTCTATCCTTCAATAACTCATGCCATTAACTCTATCTATAGATAGATAGATAGATAGATATTCAATGATGCATTATTAGGCTAAATAATCTACTTTAATTTAAGCTAATTAATTAAGTAATTTGTATTTCAGAATAAATATTATTTAGCCTATTATTGTTGAAAAGAAAATGCTGTTGCCTCAAATTGATGAGGTTGATAGATGTATATATTTATTTCTCTGCTAATCAGTAAAATTTTGAGGTATGTTAATGATGTATATACATATTCATGTCTAATAGCTGCACCCATGTCTTGTCGAGTATGACACCGCTACTGTGGTGTGAATAAAATAAGATCCATGTATTTTTTTTTTTTTTTGATCAATAACAATTTCATTAATTCACCAAAGAAGTTACATAAGGAAGACAAACACACTTATCTTCCAAGTACAATCAAGAAAACAAAAGAATATGTAGAGACAAAAAATTACAACTTAGCCCAAAATATTGAATCCCTTTCTGCCCCTTGTTTAGCTAAACCATCAGCTAGAGAATTGGCTAATCTTTTGACCCAGCACATTTTAACTTCCATCTCCCACACCAGCCACTTAAATTTCCTCCTCTGATTATTGTACCTCCATAAACCATTGCTGTCTGCATTCAGCCACCCTATCACCACCTCTGAATCCCCTTCAATTAAGAGTTTTCTGATGTTTATCTCCTTGGCTTTCTGAACTCCTTTCATAACTGCAAAGATTTCAGCTCTAAGGGAGTCACCCACTCTAATTGGGCCTGAGAACAAGGCAAAAATGACCCCATTCTCATCCCTAAAGACACTCCCAATCCCTGATTGTCCAGGGTTCCCCCTACTACTCCCATCAAAATTTAATTTCATGAATCCAGCAGGTGGAGGTGTCCAAGTTACTAACTTGGTCTGTGTGCATTTTGCTATTTCACCCCACTTCCTCAACATGTCATCCATTGTGTAACCTGTGAATAGTTCCAAATATTTCAGCCACTGTACAGCCCTAAAATTAATGATAGCCTTTAGTTCTTCCACCCCTTTCTCAGCCGCTGAGAATATCCTGAAGTTTCTTTCTTCCCATATTGTCCAACATACTGCAGCCCTCAGACCTCTCCACATAGTCCTTCCCCTTTTCCTATGCCACCTGAAGACAGAAGGGGAAAAAATGCCCTGCAGATCTGATGGAGGGTTCTATCTACACCCAAAGAGGGAAAAAGCCCATTCCCAAATTGACCTCGCAAAATGGTAAGACACCAGTAGGTGAAAACCAGTCTCCCCATCCACTTTACATAGAACACACCAATGGGGTGACAAGCAAGTATTGGGTCGCTTCTTTTGGAGTAGATCACCGATGTTGAATCTTTCCAGATAGGCTTCCCAACAAAAACTACCAACCCTAGGAGGGATTGCTCTGCACCAAACCTCATCAACAGGGAAAGGGGGGGTTACAGGATTGGTGGACTGGCTTAAGACTTTGAAAAAGAAAGCACAAGAAAAGAAGCCAATGGGGGTATGGGTCCAAATTCTAGAGTCCGCCCTTGTGGGGTCTAAGACAACGTTATCAAGAAGTTTAAGAAGGCTCAAAATATTAGCAAAGATGTTGTGGAGTCCAAATAAGATCCATGTATCACAGTTCAGATGTTGTGGAGAAAGACCCCCATTATGATCCTTTATAGAAAAAAGATTATAAAATACATGCGGAGTATCTACTAATTGGGGATGATATCAAAACTTCATAAAAAATTCTTTAAGTAATAATAAATAAATAGAAGAATGCACAGTAGAACTGCTAGCTAGAATGATGAAAAAAACTAATCTCCTACTCCTTTTTCTGTGGAGAGAACTATTAAAAGGGATTAACAAATTGACAATACAACTGATTAAAAAAGATGAGAACACAAGGATTTCAAACTAGTGATGTTTATCAAAAAAAAAAAAAAAAGATTTCAAACTAGTGAATGTAGAGCATCATAAGACTAATCCTTACACCAAAACTCTTACTCATATACCACCTAAAGCAACTCTTATTTTAAGATAACTAAAACTTAAATACCTATAGGCTTCTTACTTGGCAAATTGAAGTTTGTCTATTCATTTCTATGGGAACTGAAGTACTAGCAATTCTAACATCAGCAACATATACAAATTAGTACTTATAGTTTGTTCACTGATGCCTTTGCTTTGTCTTCTGATATTCTTCATCTCAAATTACTTGTAAATCCACAAAGAACTTGTTGAATTTTGCAGGTTTCCTGTTCAATAGTTAAATTGGTTTTGAGGAACAATGCTCTAACTATATTACGTGGGATTGAGAATTTGAAATCAGTAGAAGGGCTTGATCTTTCCTACAACATTATTTCCAATTTTACGGAGTTGGAGATTCTTGCAAATCTTCCATCTCTTCAAAGCTTATGGTTGGAAGGAAATCCAATATGCTGTGCCCGATGGTACCGCCCACAAGTGTTCAGCTTTTTTACTAATCCAGAGAAAGTAATGTTTACTCTTTCCTTAGTTCTGTCTTGCTTTATGTCCTACATCATCCATTTTCTCATTTTTGGAGTAGACTTCAGTTTTGATTTTGGTTGTTCATCCTCATTAATTTTGGTGTTTCTACATTTTCCTGAGAATATTAGCATGTCTTTGGGCAAGGGCTCTTTTAATACCCAAATTTAGGGCCTCTCTGACTTGTCATTGTCCTTTTAACTCTGTTGCATTTACAATCCAGTTGAAATTAGATAAAAAGGAAATTAGCAAGAAAGAGGCTTGGAAGAGACAAGTCATTCTTGCAAACAGGAAAAAGCAGCCTGCTGGCTTTGGACTTTATTCTCCTGCAAAAGATGATGCTAACAGGGAAAGGAGTTTCAATATGAAAAAGGTAGGTGATTTCACTACTAGATTTCCAATTCAGGCAGCATTTGAAGAACTATATTATCTATCTGTATGGAGCCTTATAATGACTTGCTTCTTTTTGTATTAGCCTTGTCCATATGTTAATTTCTGAAAACATTGCAGAAAAAACTGTCTCGTCTTGCTTGTATTGAAGATGAGGAGCAGAGTTGTACAATGAAGAGGATTGAAGTCATGAAAAATGAATTTTCTTTTCTTTGGTTGAGAAAATTGAAGGACTGGATCGATCACAATTCTGAGAATGCGGTTGACAATACCAACTTTTCAGGGCAGATTTCATGTCCTGCTAAAGAGAATTGTGTGAAAAAGACCAAAAGGCAAAATAATCTCAGAGAGAGCTCACGATACGTCATAGAATCTGTTCTAGCACCAGAAGACAAGAGCAGGACAAACCTTATAGAATCTAAGAACTCCTTATCTCATGCTTCTGTTGATTTCCATGCCCATTTGCCCATTGATTCAATTGGTCAAATGGCTTTGAAGTCATCAGTGATATATAATAGCAGGGAAGCTGTTCCTCCCTTAAAAATTGGGACAATGGCTTTAAGTCAAGAAAGGGTGAGTGGTCTGCCTTTTGGAGTAAATGATTCCTTTCTTCCTAATAGATTGACCATCCAGGGAGATGATAAAGTGGATGCAAAGGCTAATATACCATTGACAGCAATTGGTGAGATTATGGAATCCCATACATCCTCTACTTTCCCTTGCTCACCTCCTCATTATCAAGAGGATATGCTACATTGTCATCACAACTTAGAGGAAGAATTTATGCAAATTTCTGCTGACTCACATTCACTGGCATCATCAGATAGTGATACCAGCTGCAGTGAAGATGATTTCTATGAATCTGGAACATCTTTACCATTGACAGCGATTGATGAAATTATGGAATCCCATACATCCTCTACTTGCCCTTGCTCACCTCCTCATTATCAAGAGGATATGCTACATCGAGAATTAATGCAGCTTTCTGCTGGCTTGTATTCACTGGCATCATCAGATAGTGTTACCAGCTGCAGTGAAGATGATTTCTATGAATCTGGAACATCTTTACTTGAAGTTCACCAGTCATGCTGTTTAGAGCCCTTGAATACAATGAATGGGAGTATGGGTTACCACATGCACATGTTTCTCTCAAATGATAATTATTATGACAAAAAACAAAGGGAATTGTGTATAAGACAGAAGGACCATATTTTGTTGGATAGTTCCACTGATAAACATTCTCACACTGTAGGACTTCTAGAACCAATTGATGGCCAGCAAATTTTGACTGATGATGTGCTGGCTGGTGTTGGCAATGCTGGCATTGATCATGTTATGAGCCAAGAAACAGATTGTTTGGAAAATAGAAAATGCCGAAGTAAGCCAAAAAAAAGAGTTGTTTCACTACCAGAAGAGAATTATATGACAGGGAGTGCAGACCCACGATGCCAAAAGTTAAATGGAAATGCTGATGGTTGTAAAGCTAATATGGAAGATGGGCCACAAAACCAAATTTTCAGGATGAAATCTGCCTCTCTTTCTGAGAATGATAGATTTATAATGGATTATTTTCATGCCAAAGTTGCTGATGCTAGAGTTTCTGAGACTTGCTTGCAGTATATGCGATGTGACAGTATTCTAGAGCTGGAATCAGGTTGCCAAGAAAGGTAGAACTTTCATCATTCTCATGTTTGTTTGGAAAGGATAATATAATATAGTGTAATAACTTTCACATTTGATATAAGCAGAAATAAATAATGCTTGTTTTGAATGTGATATTTTCACTTTTTAGACGGCATTTTATATCTTTTCTTCTTGAAATTCCACAAAATTTTAATTGTCACTACGTGTGCACTTTTCAACTTCAGTGGTCAAATCACTTTAATGCTGTTCTTATTTGCATTGTATTTGTAGGAAAAAATATAGTTAAATTGTTGGCAATGAAACTTGAAAATGCCAATGATATTCTTTTTTCACTTTCTATGTTACAACGAGTAAAATTCTAATTGTGGACCTCTATAATAGATTCCTAGATAATTCGTCTTTTTTTTGAGAAAAGTTAAAGTATAAAGATTTGTATTAATGTATACTTGTATAGTGTAAGCATGGATTACAAGTGTGTCGACAGATCAAGCATGTACAGCCAGGAACTATACATTAGAATTCACAAAAAAGATCCCCCAAAAAACAATTTAACAAAACATCGAAAGCAGGATTCAAAAACTGATCAGGTTATCTGATTAGCCAAAAAGGGTGCTGTTTTCAAAATATTAATTGTGAGAAATTCTTCTAAAGAGGTCTGTGGCTGAAAGCCAGGAATGGGTTGAAGCCACGACCTGTTGCACCTCCTTGTCCAGAGCCCAGCTTTCTTTCTCCAAAAATCCTTCTATTTCTCTCCTTCCACAGCACCCTGCAAATGGCATGGGGGACTGTGCTCCACAGCTTCCCTTTTTTATTTAAACCCAGCAGTTTCCAGGACTTCAGGAGGTCAAACAAACACCTTGGTTGGCACCACCTTACATTTAGCAGCCCACGTACATGATTAAAAAGGAAACTTGGTACTTGACAGTGCAAGAAGAGATGGTTGGTAGATTCTGCTTCCTGACCACACATCACACAAGCCAAAGAGTTCAAGTACCCCTTCTTGACAGTTGTACCTTTGATAGGCACTTACCATTTACCGCTGTCCACATGAAGAAATTTATCTTAGAAGGGATATGAGGGACCCAAACCTCCTTCCAAGAAAAATCCAAGGGGGTGAGTGAACCAACTCCTCATAGAAGGATTTGACAGAAAAGTCTCCATCTTTGGACCATCTCCACAATCTTCTGTCCTGCCGATTCTGATCAGGTAAATGAGCCTGAATGAGTTGGAGAAGGCTTACCAGATCAGAAATCTCCCAATCATTAAGCTGCCACCTTAAGGTTGGGCTCCAAACTCCCACAGTTCCGACCCAGTCTATCTGATATGCAACTAGAGCATCTCTGTTTTCTGCTAACAGAAATAGGAAAGGGAATTCATCCATCAAAGCACTGTTTCTGCACCAGGGGTCGAGCCAGAACCAAGTTCTTCTACCATCCTCCACCTTTAGCTTAATTCCCTGAACGAAGCTTGAAAAGGATTTTTCTATTCCTTTCCACACTGAACAATCAAATGAAGAAGAGCTGATACCTGGGTCCCAGCAGTTGCTATTCAGACCAAATTTCTCTTCAATTAGACACCTCCATAAGCTAAGAGGCTGAGAATTAAATAGCCAATACCACCTTCCTAGACAATTCATCTTGTTAGTTGTTATTGTGGAAACATTACCATTGAAGCTGTAATTTCACTTTTTAAATGCAAACACTGCCTTTAAGTTGCATTCTTGCACCTCTTTGTAGGTAAAGTATCTGCTATTTATGCCATGTATTGGTACTGTCACATGACATCAAAGTGATTTCTCATTGAAGACTTTCCTCTTCTAGTTTTCTTCTCTTTACTGTCTTCGGATAAGTCAATTTCTTGGTATCGTATAGATGGTCCTCTTAATTGACCTCTGCAAAAAGTAGAGACAACCCTTTGGTTTTGACTTGAAGAAATAAATAGAGCAAACAATGCAACATAACTTGCATATTAAAGATTTCTTCTAGTGAGAATTCTGGTTTCATCTCCCGCTGAGACTTGCAATCTTGAGTGAGGTAGAACACAAATAGAAATTTAATAAGTCCTCTTATAGATTTAGCAATCAGTCCCACTATTTAATGGGTTTTAGTCCTTTTTGTGATGCTTAAAAGGATTAAAGGAAAATTACTTAAAACTTCTACTATACTTTTTAAGTGTGCTGTTCCTTGCTTTTTAAAAATAGGCTTAAGCATGCACTATTAGAAAATCTCCATTAAAACACAAAAGGAAATGTTATGACAATTAAAAGCCTTCTTAATAAATGATAAAAGATGCTTATATGCAATTTGTCTCTAAAATTACCCTTATATACCACATTTTAGTACACCATAATACTTTTCACCAAAAAGAATTATTCACCCAATGTTGTAAGACTTGCTGGATGGCAGGGCCACCAAGACTAGGAACCAACGGTCAGAAGTGGATTTTTGTTTGCCAGTTTCTTAGAAATGTTGACATGATTGAACTTACCTCATTTTAATGTATTAATATGTATTATACCCACTAACATGTAAGCTTATATTAATGCAACTCTGGAAGTTCATCTCTCCCAAAATTTTTGCTCTAATGTTCTTATATGAATGTTCTAAACCAGCTAGGAACTTGAATCTTCACCCTTCAATTTGTTTGTCATGTCGTTCTTTGTCTTTAGTGCTGTCCCATTCAAGGATTGAATGATGGTCAAGCTCTTCCCACAAGCCTTCTAGTGTAGCAAAGTAAGTTGTAGCAGTCATGTTCCCTTGAGTCAAACTTGAAATGCCTTGATTCAGCGTATAAATCCTTGTGATGTCCTTCCGTTGACTGTAAGTGTTATACAATTTTTCCCAAATCTTATGGGCTGTAGTATAGGACTGAATGGTCGTCATAGAAGATAGTTAACCATAACATTATGGTTGCATTTTCTCAACATCAAATCCTATAAGTTTGGTTCCTCTTCCTTGATCTCCTTAATTTTCCCATCAATGTATCCTTGCAGTCCATGACTTACTATGGACCATCTTTGCTGAATGACCCATTCCCTATAATTGTATTCATCTAATTTTACATTAGTAATCTGTATCATAGGGTTTCCAAGATGAATAATACCATCCCCATTCCTGGAATCTTCAAATGAAACTTCACTTGTGTTAGAAGACATCTTGAGCTCCCACAAATTGATAGTCAGCAAGTAGAACAGGTCAAACAGCACCTCCCATTGCTTGAACTCTAAAGAAAATTTTGCCAAGAGCCCACATGAATCTCCTAGACTGACCCTCTTTGCAATCTAGCAGGTAGACTTGAGAAATAGGACTCTCTAGTAGTTCAAACGACTATTACACAGCTTCTTGTCCTAAGTGAGCATACCAGAAACTATTCTGGGCCTCCTTAGAGATTTTCTCAAGGAAAAAACCCTAGAAACAGTCAGCTAACCACAACCAGCACTAGGGTTTCTTCTTGTTGCTCCAAAGAAAGAAAAGAAAACTAGAGAAGAGAAGAGGAGTGAATGCAGGAATCGGCGACCAGAACAAGAGCAGATTATTGCTCTGATACCATGTTAGGTTCATGAAGAAAAGAGGAAAAACAGAAGAAGAAGAAGAAGAAGAAGAAGAAGAGAAAAGAGAATAGGGTGGGGTAGTTACTCTCACCAACCCATGAAATGATATTTATATTAGGGTTTAAATAATACATGAGATGACCATTTTGCCCCCCCCCCCATTAGTAGACAGCAATATAACTTAAGATAAACATAAGCCCAGCTGCCCAGGCCCATTAACCTCTTAATGACAACAGAACATAACATAGCATAAAATAAATGGGCCGAAGCCCACACTGTTAAGTCTCACAACATCCTCTTCAAGGAATTTTATAGGAGTTGCAACGGTTATGTAGGCATCTCCTCTAAATAAATAGATAAATAAAAAAGATGACACCTCGTTCCCACTTAGAGAGGGGCGACCAGGCGTGGGAGCACTTAAGTGACTGAAATTGGTTTTTTCCTTCTGTCCATTTGTTCTTTAGTTGACTCACTACAGGTTTGATCCCAATATGGTCTTCTAGAAAGACTTAAATGGGCTTAAAAATAAGCCCAGTATTTGCTTTAAATAATGAAACTGTGTGGACTTATATCCAGACCGACTTTCTTTCAAATAACATAAGATACAACCAAGTACATCTTAGTACCATAGTCCCAATTCAAGAAGGGATCTGTAAGCACTTGATCTTGATGATCAATGCCATGTAAAGCACATTTCAACCTCAACACATTGCCATAAATATGCAAGCATATTTTCATCTCTTTATACATTTCAGATGTTGGATTTATATTTTCCATGATATCTTACATTTCAATTTTCCAGGCCAATCACATCTTGTACTCTATTTTCTTATTTCTTTGTTGCCTTTCCTTAGTTTTATTCAGGACTATGCAGAAGAAGCAGTTTGTTCTTTGCAGGGATTCTTATTGTTTCTGGCATGTTATATATGCAGAGAAGTAGTCATATTATTAAGCAGTGAAAATAAGTTGTACGTGCTCCTTATTGATGTCACATCTAATGGCTCAGGTTAGTAAAGTTAGTTTTGTGAACTATTTCTTAGTGACATGCAATAATCATTTGTTCATGCTGCTCGGTTGATGGTATATTTTAAATGGCTACATGACATCTGCGATTTGGTTGATGTTTCATAGGTGAAATCTCAAAGGTTATTGGATGCCACAAGCTTGAAGACATTAAAGAAGTTGTGGTTGGTATGGGACTACAAGCTTTGAGGTTAGCATAGTGGTTAACTTTTCTTCTTATAAACTATGTTACCAGGTACAGCAAGGACAGCTGGATATGGTGTCAGATATGAATTTTCTATTAACATATATAAGAGAGAGAGAGAGAGAGTTTCATGCTCAGTTTAGTTGATGTTTGAACTTTATAACATGTAAATGCTCCTCTTTTGTTTTGTTCCAAAAAAGGGTACAGATTTCCTGATTCACAAAATTCTCTCTTCTCTCAACTATTAAACCCTAAGCCCTTATAAACTCTAGTACACTAAAAATTGAAGCATCCGCCACAACAAGTCACCCTTGTACAGATATTCAGGTATCATAGTTTATAAGTTACAAAAGTAAATAACCATTCACTTTTCTGCTTACTGACTTTCTTGTCTTTCAGTGTACGTTTCGAGAGGGATGCACCATACCTGTTAATAACAAGGAGCATTGATAAATCAAGGGGATTGCTTTGTCTCTTGGAAGCCCTTCATCCATGCACAAGTAACAGATATTCCCTAAAAAGGTGATTTCTCCATCATACTCCCCTTGGTATTTGAAGACAAAGCTATTTATCAAAAAGAAAAAAAAAAGAAGTCACCAAGTGCCTTATGTTGTTTATAATTTCTTTTTAATCTCTTATGTGATGGTTCTGTCTCTGGAAATTTGAATTACAGCTTGGAGCAGGTTCAGGTCGAATTGTTTGAGAGGTATATTTGTAGAGGCTCGAAAATGAGCATATTGCTATACACAATGTTGCTGTTTCGGAAGAGCAGTTGTGAAGGTATGCATATTTTGTGCTATAAGTTGATTGTTTGATTTCTCTGGACTTGGAGGAAGTGATTTTAGACAATAATATGCCCTATCTTGGTTAATTGATGGGTATCTTTCTGTTGAGTGCATACTTTATTACTGTAAAGGGGTTTATGTGTAACTTATGTTCATTAGTATAAAACTTAATGAAGGGGCTACTCTCAATACTTTTGATTTTTCTCTTTTTCCCTTTCTCCTCCTTTCTTCCTTTCTTCGCATTGCCTCTATACATTATACATCAAAGTTTGCACAACTTTGTTTTAGAGCATTACCTACTTCAGCTCTGGTTGCTGCATCTCTGGTCGGCTGCTGATACCATAATCATCACTGACTGATGATGTCATCTGGAGTCGGTTGGATCTGCAGATGAAGAAAACCCTAGATTCATGCTTGACCTCATTTTAGAAGAATCCTGATGGTTGTTGAATGGTTAACACTAGACGCGGGGTTGTCCTTTTAGTTCTATATAAGGGCAATTCTAATGAGAAAGGCTAGTCCACATTTTTTCTCTAACCTCTAATCTCTCTTCTTTCTTTCTTTATCTATTTCTTCTACTTTTCTTCTTTTCACTCTAATCTGAATTTCTTTAGTGCAAAACTGTCAAAGTTGGTATCAGAGCAGAGAACTAAACTCTATTTGTCAATTGCACACTTCTCTATGCATTGATGTCATCCCTGCTGTTAGATAACATCAGCAGACTATACAGACAGCTGGCACACCTGGTTGAAGATACTTCAGGTTTTGATGAAGGGTGATTTTAGAAGAATTTTGGTGCAGAAGTCATGATCATTTTAGACCAGTTTGGCATTTTTTTTGAGCATTTTTCTTGTAAAATTGAGAAAATTCAGATTTGTTTTCAGGTGATTCTGCAACCCATTAGACGATTTCAACTTTTCAAGTAAGATTTGTTGCATCAACCTAAGTTTCCTGACCTTTTAGTAGAGATTGAAAGTGGCCTTGTCTGGTTTTGTGATATCTACAGCATATAGCGCCCAACCTATTTTTTCCTATTTTTGAGTTGTCAAAGGGATGTGTTGTGAAAAACCCAAGAAAACAGATTTGAATGGCACCCAACCTGAAAGTAAAAGTAGAGATAAAGAGAAACAAGCGCAGAGAACACACACATAGTTTGGCTTATAGCCTACGTCCACGGGGAAGGAGGAACAGAAATCTACTATGAAGTTGGCAATGGAGAAGAAATACAGAGTTGTGCCCTCACAGAAAAAAAAAGCCCCAAATACATCCAATGTTTCACTCGTCTCTCACAAGACTAAGACTCTGTATACAACAGAAAAAACCCTCTTCGTATTCGATTCAGACCTATAAGCTGAATATGGATTGGGTATACGCATCCACCACAAACCACTCTGAAAATTTGCCTTCGGGTTTTCTCAAATTAATTCGGAGCGGATTAAGAATTCAAGGCACAAACATAACAGGATGTCATCTATTTTTGAGGGAGATACTACAACACATCAGTTCCGGAAATAATACTAGTACAGGGGGACAGGACTCTCCAGTGGTCTGTGAAGATAGGCTAAGAAGGAAGGAACAAGGATCAGGATTCTCCGGTGGTTTAACTTTTACCATAACCACTTCACTGCAAGCCTGCTAAGGGGAAGGACTTGATACCAGTTGTAAATTCTCAGTTGCAACATTCTAGTTTTCCACGTTCAGCTTCCTTGTTCTCAGGTGTGGGTGTACATTTGGCTTCTGTTACTGACCCATGTACTCAGCCTGTTGCAGATACTCTAGCATTCACCTTGAATGGGTAGATATGGCGTCCAAGGGAGGGATTGAGGGTGGTAACCAAGAGGTTAAAGAGAAGAAGGGACTGAAACTTCTAGAGGGGCCTAGAGAGGAGGCGAAGAGAATCTGGAGATTAATCTGTACAGAATTCGAGGAACTTAGGCAGAAGGAAGATTACTTGGAAGAGAACCCTCAAAAGGAGAGGTTGGCTAGTGAGGAAGGAGAGGCTGTTGAAGAGGAAGGTTACAAGGGGAAAGAATCGACTCCTAAAACTGAAATGTGCATTCAAAAGGCTTAATCTGGTGTGTGCAAGGGAGAAGTTAAAACTTACAATAGGAAAACTGAGAAAAAGAAAAAGAAAAAGAAGAAAAGAACTGAGGTACAAAGACTAATTTCTGACATCGAGGGTGATCTTGAGTTTAGGCGGAAGGGAGAGAGTAGTACTCCAGGTAAGAAGTTTGGTTTTTAAGGAGGGTCTATTTGTGAAGTATAGCTACGAAGATTGTCAACTGGAATGTGAAAGGATTGAAAAGTGCTAGAAAAAAAAGATTTATTGAAAAAGGAAAAAACCCGATATCATGATGGTGCAAGAGACAATTTTCTGATCTTGATGGAAGATGGGTCAGAAGCTTTTGGAGATCTAAGGGAGTAAGTTGGTCCTTGGCTCCATCTTGGGGGAGCGTCTAGGGGACTTGTTACAGTATGGAGGGATGAGGCAATGGAAGCGGTGGAAGAACTAATAGGGAGATTCTTTCTCCATTAAATTCAAGAATGCGGATGATGGTTTTTGTTGGGTGCTTACTAATGTGTCTTAATACCTATAGGGAAATGAATGAATTGTGGGAGGAATCGTATGCAATTCAAGGCTTATGGGTGTGAAGAATCCTGATATTGTACCATATTACTATAGTCATTGTTCTGTGCAATCTTGTTATTTGTTTCTCTCTTTTTCTCTTCTTTGCCCCACAAGGGCCTTTTTGTAAATATGCATTTTCATAGAAAATTCCCAATATTTTAGCTCGAGTGACAATTTAGTCCCCAAACGTTAAAATACAACAATCCAGTACCCAAACTTTTAATTTGTGACAATTTGGTACCTGGCGTTAACTCACCATCAATCAGGGCCATCACATGAGATCAAGTGAAGTTTAAATAATTTTATGATGTCAAAACTAACCCCTATGATAATATTTAGACCATTTTACCCTTTCCTTTCTTTTTACCCTATTCCCCTTTCTCTTCAATCTGGGTTGAACGACAGAGGAGAGGTGGCGCTAACTGATCGACCGTTTCAACAACTTTAAGCATTCCTGCTTAGCACATTCCATGTTGGCAGTTGTATATCTTAATACTTGGTTCAAATGCACTACACTCAAGAGTTTTAAACAGTTCCATTGCCGCAAAGAGTTCCTTGGCCTCATCTATGGAACCATCATCTCCGCAAAGAGCTGTAAACAACCATATCAGGAGAGATCCTTCTACCCATCATCTCCGCAAAGAGTTCCTTAGCCTCACCTATAGAACCATCTTTTTAAAGGCCATCAATAACCATAACTACGTTAGGCTTAAACCTATCACCACCAACAGTTCCGTTCACCATTTCTCTGTGCAAATTCAGTGCTAGGGCTGTGTTTCCTGACCTACATAATCCATTAATCCGAGTCCCGTATGTGATTACGGTGGGTATGCAGCCCTGCTCAATCAATTTTTGGAAGATCTGGGCAGCTTCATTGATCCGATTCACCGTGCACATCCCCTTAATCAGAGAAGTGAAAGTGAAAGTGTTGGGGCCATAACCCCGTTTCAGAATTTCCCCGAAAACTGCTAAACCAAATGGAACATGACTAGAGTTACAACAACAATTTAATAGAATGTTTAGCATAATGAAATCGGGAGAGACACCGATTGGATTCAATTTTCTGTAGAGAGAAACAGCAGCTAAGTAGTTTTTGATCTTGGCAATTGCACCTGGGAGGCAGGGGTTGCACGAGAAGCATTTGATTAAAAGCATTTGATTAAAGAACCCAACTGCATAATTTAGATGGATATTTCCTGATTTGCACTTATCCTTGAAATTTTCGATTTCCGTCTCCCTCGGCACATCTCAAAGAGGATGATGCAGCAGCAGAAGCTGAAACTCTCAACACCATTTGGAACAGAAGTAGCGCTATGTTGTGCCTGGATCACGGAGTTAAACACTTGAAAACTGATGTTCACTTCACTATGGGGATGTATCGTGCTGCAACTGCTGGTGAGGAGTGAATGAGCAGTTGAGGACTGAACAGCACCAGTGCTCTTCGGAACGTTAGAGCAGTAAACAGTGGTTCCCATTGGCAAAGAAAGATTATTGTAGTGGAGGTTATTTTCATCATTTTGAAAATGTTTCAAAACGAGATGGGTATTTATGTCTTTTTATGTGTTGACTGACGGTGAGTTAATGCCAGGTACCGGATTGTCACAAATTTAAAGTTTGGGTACTAGATTGTCGCATTTTAAAGTTTTGAGTTGGCCTTGTACTTCCTGCAAGAAATTGAGCATTGACTCTTCCTCATTAATAATTCTTACATTTCATTTCTCAATGCCGGCAGATGAACCATGGCTTTTAAGATCCCTATTTGTAATTGAAGGATATATGATTGTATGCATTGAAGACCTTGTGCAGTTCAGTTCTCTTTCATTGAATGAAGCATCGTCGAATTCATATTTCTCTCTTGATTCATGCTGCTCCATCAGTAACATAACAGAAATGGTAATCTTATATTTAATTTAGCTTTCTTTGACATGCTTTCTCCATGTGCAAATGAATCTACTGGTACTTAATCACTTTATACATATCTAATTGATAAAGAACTCTACTATATTTTTATAATTAGAGTGTAGGTGTGTGTGTTTTCGTACATGTATACATGTGTGTGGGTGCATGTTATATTGTGTCACATGTTGCCTTTATCAGATTAACAAACAATATCATGTGATATATACTATTGTTATCACTGCTCCCTCTTTCATAACCTCTAAATTCCTAATAGCAACCAAAACTGCATTATAACCTAACAGCCATGAATTCCAAACCTATTTCCATTGAAAGTAACTCTTTCTGTCAGAATATGGTTAAAGGAATTCCTTTGACTTAAATGAAATATGAACCATTAGAGTCTAATAATGGGCTACTTTGTGCAAAAAATGGCAAAGCTTAGATCTGTATCCAGTCCACCCCTTCCAAGACCCCAGATAAGGACCAACATTGTATAATGGCCACTAGTTGGTTGTTATGGTACTAGAAACAAGAACTAGTAAAGAGAATAGACATTAGTTAATGTCATTGGTAGGGAGATACCACAGACAAAGGTATCTTTGTCATTTTGGTTATCCATAATTACAGTGAGTTCAAGTAGGATGGCTCTATAGAATTAGAGAAGGATGGATCCTGTGCAAATTTGACTCTGTTAGGCTTGAGCAAAGTTATGTAAGTTACCATAAGACATATACCTACTATACTTTATGGAATAAATTGTGGGGCAATCGAAAAATGGCATGCATATAATGACTGTATATGATGGATGATGAATGACACTAGGATTGTAGAGGTCTTAAAAAAGTGACAAAATGAAGTATCAAAGGAAGCAATGCTTGTTGGTCATGTGCAATAGATAATTGATCGGCACCATTTGGGCAGAAAGGAACAAAAAGCTTTTCCAGAACATCTACAAGGACCGGAAGGATCTTATATCCATTTATTTTGGAAAACTGATTCCATGGGTCTGCTTCGAAGGGGCTTCAGGCTTCTCAGTTGGGAGCTAGGCTGAATTCTAGGAGATTATGGCATTTGTAACCTTGTTTTGAATGGGCTGTTTCCCCTAAAAAGGCTGGAAGGTATTCAAAAGTTTCAAAGATCTTCAAATAATGTTTTGGCATAATTTTTAATTCTTGATCTAAAGTTTGAACAGGGAAGTATAGCTCCTTTTATTCAAACCCTAGCTTGAATTGTTGATTCGGATTGAGATGTTATGAGTTGGTTGTGTGTATGAGAGATGAGAGATGGTTGTATATAGTTTGTAGCTAAGGTTTTTATAAAAGAAAGCTTGTGTGCATGAAACTTAGACAGACCTAGTGGATGTTTGTGAATACTCACCAAGTTTTGAATTGATCATAGACAGGACTTAAGCGCTTAGCATCTATAATAAGAGCCATAGCCCAGGCTTGGGTTGGGTTTTCAGGCCAATAACTTTTAAATTATATATCAAATATATAGTATTGTATATTTATATGACATTAATATATGGATAAATATGTATGCTGAGATGGATGAATGGAAAAACTAGGAAGGACAGTGTAAAAAATGAAATCATTCAAAGGAACATAGGAGTAGTTCCAATAGGTGATAAAATGAGAAAATAGACTAAGATGGTTTGGCCACGTACATAAAGGACCCATAAGAAGAAGTGATCTGTTTCAAAGTTGAAAGGGGCAGAAGGAATAGGGGTAGACCAAAAAGCACATGGGTTGAAGTAGTAAGAAATGATTCAAGTGCTAATAATTTAACAATGCATATGGCATTAAACAGAATTGAGTGGCAAAACAGGATTCGTGTAGCCTACCCCAAATAGTTGGGTCAAGGCTTGGATGGTGATGATTAATATATCCATAAATTAGGCCTCGTTTGGTTGATGGGAATAGGGGTCTGGAATCGGAATCGGAATGGGCTATTCTGATTCCCACAGTCTGTTTGGTTGGATGGAATTGGAATCCCATTCCCATTCTTGCTGGAATGGCATTCCCCTATTTGAGGGAATGGCCATTCTCTGAACCAAACAGACTGTGGGAATGGGCCATTCCGATTCCGATTTTGGTGAATTCCGATTCCAATTCCGACTGCAAACCAAACAGACCCTTATATTATTGCTGGTAATCGGAGCTTGAGCCAGGGCTAAAGTATTGAGCCCAGGTTTGGCCTGCAAATTTCCATGCCTGATGCAGGGCCAAGCTTGGGCCATGCTAGAAATGATTACCCTAATTTTCAGGCCAAAAAAACTAGCTTATGCTGGACAAATGCCTAAGTTGATTGGGAGGATTTTAGGGTCAATTACAAATACCCTACCTGGAGTATACCCACCTTAGGTTTCTAAAATTACTCTACATTTTCGTCAAGTTATTTGATGAATACGGATACCATCATTTTGTTAAATAGCATGTCACATGATATGTTTAGACTTCCATTGTAACAATCTTAACCTTGCCAATTATATGGTGTGTTCAAACCCTTTGAAGGACCAAATTACCCTTTTTGATACATTGTTTGGACATTTCAGAATAACAGTTTACTCTTTTGTAGTACATTCAACTCAAGTGAAATGACATTGAAATTGAAGCCAAATAGATTGAAGATGATAGATTTCTTTTGGTTTTTGGTGATCACATATTAAATATTAGGGGTATTTATGTCATTGCGCATGGTTGTTATTTGAAATAAGGATTCTATATACATGTAAAATATTAGGGGTATTTATGTCATTGTTCGTTTGTCATCAAGAGTGTCTCCTTTTGAATTGGATAATTGTACTTTTAGAAACATGCTGTGGGTATCTGCTATTTTTTGGAAACCCCAGGCTTTTGTCATCCACCGTGAATATGTTGCCCATTCAGGTCATAATTTATGAAAGCGCACTAATTTATATGTTTGGAACAAAAGTTCCTGGTTGGCTTAGAGGTACATGTATTGCTTATGGATCATGATGTGGGAGTTGTATTCAAAGCATAAAATAAAGGAAAAACAAAATATATATCTTAAGGTTTGGATGATAACATAGAGTTGGCTCAGAAGTCCATGTATTGTTGAGGGATCATTCTGTTGGACTTGTATTTTCTCTGTTCATTTAGATTATCATGTTTATTTGTGTATTGGGTTAATTTGGAGTTGAGGTATGTTTTCATTGGGCTTGGATTGACCCTAAACCCAAATCAACCAACTCCTGACCTGTAGTCAAGATTTCTTTTGTATGTTACTATTTATTAGTACAATTACTGATTATGATATATTTAGTCTGGATGAATACGGTCTTCCCTTTATAATGATGCAATGTGGGCTAACACGAATCGGAAAGCAGCAAGAAAAGTTAAATTATTATAGTTGTTTCTTTGGTCATCTCGTGGATTTAACGAATAATAGTTTGGAACTTAAATTTTCAGATAATAGAGCGCTGGGAGCGTTGGTCTGTCACCTTGACCCTAGACCGAGTTACATCTGAGAAGTACTGCTGCATGGCTGATCCAATGAAAGAAAAACGCATGGCCAAGCTTGCAGAGGACAAAATGGCTTCAAGCTCGTGCACATGGAAGTTGAAGTGGTTCTCGGAAGAAACACTGTCCAAATTTATGGCATTGATAAAGGCCATCTATGCAGGAACAACATTGTCTCATCTTCCTGTAAGATGCATCTCCTGAAGCTTTCATGTCTATTTTCTGGTAGTTGTATAGCCATTTCATTCATTTTTTTCTAGGCTTTTTTCCATGCTCTCTTTTCCCCTGTTTTGTTTTGTTTTGTATTTTTTTTTTTCGCTGCTAGTTTTGGCTTCTTTTTGCGCTTTCTTCTTTGTCCCTGTTCTTCCTGTTCTATCTCTTGTACAAAATGTACAGAAAAGAACGTTTAATGAAAATTTTCGATGGTCTTTAATCTCTCCTCAGTCCTCTCAGGGGATATCTAATTGTAAAATGTGCAAGAAGTTTCTGCTTCAACGCTGGGAGTGTCTCCATCGACACCATGCGTGCATACCCAACTTTCCTACACCTGATCGCTTTGTTGCAGCTGTTATTGCTTATGGTGCAGCAAAAATGGCTCAAGTTTTATTTTTTTTATTGGTATTAAGTTTAGATTGTTTATCATTAGTTACTATTTCATAACTGTAGTTGACAATCTAATCTCGAAGATGACAATCTAATCTAGTTAGCAAAAGAACAAGAAAATGACAATCTCGACTTCTAAAATATATTATATATCATAGTATCTACTCTAGAGTACTAATTACAGTCGTTATGAGAAACAAGAACTAGAGAGCCAGGGTCCACCATGTACTCATCTTAACTGTAACCACGTTGTGGTTTTGGTTTTTTCTATCATAGGAAACTCCTGGTGGTGGGACAACCCTGGCCATGTGGCCATGTCAGAATGGGCCTTGGTTTCAGCGTTGATCAACATACTCGGATACTATTTAAATTGCTGGTCCAGATTCTGAATGTAGATATTGGTTTTTCTTTACTGGACCTTACCAATCATTCAATTAATATTATTAGTTTTGCCACAGTAGCAGTGAACTGACCAATTCAGATACACCCTCCCGCTTACTTGTGTAAGATTATGGATGTAGTTGCTAAACATTACCTGAAATCAAGCAAGGTTTCTATTATTAGTTTTCCTTTTTAGATGAAGGAATTCAGCTGCTCTAGCCTGTCAAAGGCAATATCAAAAGGTAATATTAATAGTGTTATTATTTAAAACTCCTTTTTCACTTTTTTTTTTTATTTTGATTAGCTGAGCATGACTGCATGATGGCGGGTTGTGCAACCAATGATAATGCTCCACACCAACCGTCAATGTTAATGAAAGTAGGTGGTTGTGAGTCACATGTATTTTATGATTGTTGTAGAAAATTATCGTTTGGTTTCACAGTTAATTTGGTCTCTTTCACTCCATTTCTCTTAAACTTGCAAAACTTTCAGAAACCAGGGAATTTTTGTTATCAAACACATACTTCTTCCCATTTCTCTATTGACTATTTGACTGAGTCAATGATATCCAGATGTCATCAATATGAAAAAACAAAAACCCGGTAGGTAATCTACTGAATCAGTCAGATAGTCAATAGATCAACCTTCTGGATTGATAGGTCCTTGACTGAATCAAAGATCTAGATGGACAAAGAGCTATCGATCCAGATGTGATTGATCTATTGACTATGTGACAGGATCACAGATCAGGTTTTTATCATTGTTCTTTTTTTTATTTTTGGTATATTATCTAAAATTTAACATAATTTTTTCACATTTTTATTAAAATTATTATGAATTGTCGATACTTCTAGAATCTCTTCATTGAGGTTTATTGTCCAAAACTCCTTTTATAATTTTATTATATCATTTACTAGTAAAATGTCTACATCAGCATTTAAGTATTTTATGTAACCAAACTATCGCTTAGTGGTTAGTCATCTTCATTAACTTTGGTCATGTAAAATGCTTAAATGCTTCTGTTGACAACTTCCGCTAATAATCACTAATGTTGATATAATAGAAATCTAACACGTGAGTTTTAGACAATAAAGGGGCTCAGTTGGTATGTTAGCTGGTTTATTCCAGCACAGATGTAGATTTGATTCCCACAATTACCGACTTTGGGGAGGGTTATTAGTGGCAAGACTTTCGAACCGTTATTGATCCGAACAATCAGACCATTTAGCTCCAGAATCATCCAAGCAATTGGTTTTGTTTTACCTTAAACCTGGTCCTTGGCAAAAAATGGTTGAATTAATTAATAACCCATTCAACAGTTGTTTAGCTGTTTTATTTTAATTATTTTTTTTGTCAAAAAGGGCCATCAATTCTAACCATCAACCAAAAACAGTGGCCAAGACAATTCCAGTTTCAGGTTAATTTTTAAAAACATTGATTAGTGGTATGTATCACCAAATAACAAAAAAAAAGCCTTAATAAATTTAAGAAAAATGTGAAAAAGATATGATAAGTTTTAAATAATATCCATTTTTTATATTGATGATATTAGGGTTGACGGTTTGATCCATTGAAGCCAGACAGTTAAACCCATACTTTTCAAAACCGGACCAGGCTGGATGGTCCGACCGGAAAAATCGGGAATCAGTCAGATGACTGGATTTTTCATAAAAACTGTGATTTTGATCAGTAAACCGCTGGTTTTGACCGATTTTCTTTTTTTTTTAATTTTTTTTTTGTCAAAACGGGGCCAACCATTCGATTCAAACGATCGGACGTTTATGATTAAACCAATGACCCATTAATCTATGTGGGAAATGTTCAACTTCCAGGCTGGGGTTTTAAAATGCTGGCCTCTAGTGATGTGACGATTCATTTGATGAGACATGTTATCATCCATTTGTCCTGTAATCATCTTAGACGTAATGGCCCCAGCATCAGAAGCCACCATTGAATGTTTGGATAGTCTCAATGGTTAATTGCAACTACCCGGGCTAGTCACCAGGCAAATTGCATCCTAAAGCGTGTACATAGGAGCCCAGCAGCTGAATCTTGTTCCTATTCAATTTTGTCCAGAGGACTGATGTTTGCACATGCGGTTTGTCAGCTAGGAGATGATTCAGAATTCAGGACTTGCTGCTGTCTGGGGTTACAAGCTTGCAGTTATGATCAAGCACGACAGTATTTTTCTTTTTTATCATTCTGTTTTTTCGTTTTGGATCCAAGAAAAAATACGTTTAAAATCATCATCAAGTTTTTGAAAACGAAAAACAGCTTGACAAAAATGAAAAATACTGCCGTGCTGGATCACAAGTTCACAACTGCAAGCTTAATTACTGGCTGCATGTGGATACACCAATACAATAAGTTTTTCAAGACTTTTAGACTTTAAACCATTAAGGAGGACCTTCTAATAAAGTAAAAAAAAAAAATAATATGGCAATATGTATCAATATGGTAATACCATATCATTATGTATCGATATTTTAATGTGTAAAAATGCAAATTATACATACTTGTACCCACCATGTTTTTGGGTCCACGAAACTTGCCAAATGTCCAATGTTTAGACCATCATATGGATCCTACACTCCTACGTTGATAGGTATCTGTCTCAAAACCCAAGACCCTCTCAGATTATCTACATTTTTTTTGGGTAAACACTAGTCAGAGGTCGTCAGCCAACTCTAAATACAAATACCGAATATCATTATTTTTTGGGCAACAGTCTGAGCTCATTTTACAGATTATGAAATATGAATACAAAATGTTGGGGATCGGGAACGTATTTAGAGAAATTAAATCTAGAAATAAGCAAAGGGTAAATCAACAATAAAAAAACGGAAAACTGTCTCCCTTCTCCAACCAATGCCCCGTCGGTAAGGAACTGAAAGTCTGAAACACAAATAGAGAGAGAGAGAGAGAGCTACACTCAGAGAAGGGTTGCTGGTAGTTGGCCTCTTCTTTCTTTTCTTCTGCATTCATTCGTTTCTTCTCTTTCGCTTTATTCCTTTTCTTCGCTTTTGTGTTTCTTTTGAATGACCGAAGGCAAGGATAATGGTGTGTGTCGATGGAGAGGAAGAGGTAAGAGGGAATCAAATGGAGGGAGCTGAGGAAGAACTAGAGAGGAGGAGCCGGTTCTTAAGCAGTCTAATACAGAAGAAGAAAGCGCTTGACCAAAAAGAGCACAAAGAGAAGAATGAGAGGTTCAGCATTCAAGTCAGGGCCTCGGACATGCCTGTTGCTTTACAAGACCGAGCCTTTCGCTGTGCCAAGGAATCCCTCGACTCCATGCCCAAAAAGCTTGACAGCAAACGCCTTGCTCTTGCCCTTAAGAAGGTAATGCTTTAATATTAAGATTGAAGCTTTCTTGTTGTCTGCCTTCGTTTTCTGTTATTGTTCTATTGTTACAACGTCTGATTCTGCTTCTTAGTATTAAGAGTATAGAGGTCTTGCAATTTTGAAGCCGAACTGGGTTCCCCTTATTAGGCAGATAAGTAATGAGGACTCTTTGTGAGACCTGATTAATATGTTTGTATTAGTCCTGATTTATGATGTTTTCATATTTTCTTCCGAACTGTATAGATGATTTCATTTTGGAATTCACATAGACCTCGTTGGGATTCTGATCCCAATACATTTGGACCTTTAATGTTGTTACTGATATGCATGAACATAGAATTTACAAGTAAGTTTGTATTTACTTCATAAATGGTTTCTATATATGCAGTTATGCACCAACGGCCTTGTTACCAATTATTTTTTTNNNGTATAAATAAAAGATCTGAAATTTGTTGTTTCTTTAAGCCAAAGATGACAGTTCTGGTCAATGCAAGGCTGCTTGCAAGCTCTCTTGCCTGTCTTCTTAATTTTCTTGAGGTAGCGAGTTCTTTGTAGCAGCCAGTAACTTGTCCAATACTCAAGCTTCTGTTCCGAGTACTTGAAAGTATATTCTGTCGGTCTTTCTGTTTTTTCTGTTGGGAGATTTTTTTTTTTTTCTTTTCAGTGCAACCTTTCATCATTTTTATGTAGATTAGCTTCGTCACTGAAAGGCTCAAATTTCTGACCTGGAAGGAATTCTTTAAAGTAAATTCTGATAATCTTTATGTTTTCTCGTTAACTGTATTTCTTATTTTTTACCATCTTCCGTTTAGCTTTTATATGCGAAGCCCTTTGTTTAGGAAATTAAAAGGAGGTCTACATGTTCCTTGGTTAATGTGATCGATGGATTTCTTTTAGTTTTTTTAGGTTATTGCTTTCTCTCATTCTCTGAAGGAAGCAGCAAAAGATGAATCAAAGGGAACTTTAAGCACATTTAAGCAGTGGATTGCCCTAAGAGGCCATTTAACATATTCAACTTCAGGATACGAGTGCAATTTGGGCTGCATTGGGCTGGTTTGTGCCAACCTTCTCCAACCCAAAGTGCAGAAGACTCAAACACTGAACAAAGCCCCAAATAAAGTTCGGTTAGGTTGGACTCAGGTTAGGCTTGGTTTGAATAAAAGTTTGTCAACATAACATATGATGCTTTATTTTGTTGATAAGCAGTATAGAATGTATTATATTAATAATCAAAAAGGAGGGTGAGACACCCTCAACTCATATACAAAAGTGTGACTATGATTTTGCACAGATTATATAAAATGAAAGCCTTTACATGACAACTCAAAAATCTTCATCAACTGGAAATTTGAAAGATTAACTTTCAAGCTTTGACTCCTGATATTAAATGTTAAATTAATCTCACTAGTCTGAAACATGTTCCTTTATATTCTAACATGTTTCAGAACATAAAAAAAAGGAAATGCTCAAAAGCATACACATAATGGGACTCAATCAATCAGTTTGCCCAAGATCCCATCTGAGCCCAACTGATTTTGAACCAGGTTTACCTTTTCCAATTCAAGTATACCTGGGGTATAGATGTTTTACATGACCCAACTTAAAGTTGAGGTAAGTCTAGTTTGGTTGAACCGAATCCAAGTTGCACCTGTAATCCAAGAGTTAGTTCATAGCTATTGAAAAACATTAGGTCAACAGTTCTAGAGTCAACTGGTATCTTTACTTTCTGTAGATTCGATGCATTCTTGAATCTTTTTTTTGTAGGTAAGCCATAGGATGTAGCAAGGACAGCTGGATATGGTATTGAATATGAAACCTAAACTAAAAAGTGAAGTATCCAACATGATACGGCACCCTTGTACAGGTTTCAGGGTACCATAGTTGGTAGCTGATCTGAAAACATTACTAATCTTGGGAAATAGATGATAAATATGATATACCTAGGCATTACGTAAACCAAACCCAAGAAACTTCTTTATGGAGGCAAACATAAACTCTATGATACATGGTCATATACCACAATGTAACTTGGGAAGGTGGTCCCCAAATACAATTTAGATATTCCCAGTCTGCTTCATACTAAGCTATTAGCTAGCCAAGTATGGCTTATCCATGAATCCATATAATGGAGATCTTTATGCTAAATATTGGGGTTTGAGCCTCCCTAATGAAGTGATCTGAAGATCCATGGGTGTCTAGGGCATCCTATCACTATCTGAGAGTCTCCCTCAATCTCTTACGATTCTAACACACTGAGTAGGCACAGACCCTGGAGGAAAGACCTGGCTTCTGCTCTGTATCTAAGAGTCTTCCTGAGAGACCAGAATTTCCCAAGGAGCAATTGAAGTTTACCTTTACTACTACACGAGTGTGTGTCAGTAGGGTGTCTCTTTCTATGGATTCTTTATCTGCTTGGATGTGGATGAACATGCTATTAGCTACTAAGGCTCAAGGTGCAAACCATACTGTCAAAAGAGTAGTTCATCTTCCATGCACACCAATGAGAAACACTGGTTTTTGAAGAACATCTTGTTCAAGTGGGCTCTTACATCAACCATGTTGCTGATAGACTTCGAGAGTAAGGGATTGAATCATTGAAGACAAAATCTCATTTTGGGGGCACCAGGCCTGAGGGCAGTAGTACAGCTTTTACTATTTCTGCTTTATGCTCATTAAATCCAGTCAGCATTAGCTTCTGTATGCATTTTATATTTTTCACCTGCTAAAAGTTGGTAGTAGGAAGCTTTTTATAGTAGTATTTCTTTTGTAAATTGTAATACTAATTTTATTACTATAAGGGGGCATTCTTTTTTCGGATTTTGAGAGGGGGGAAAGTTGGTCAATGGGATTTTGGTTCCCATTGACCAAGAATCCCATGTTCTTTTTTCAGATTTATGTGGGGACTAGGGAAAGTTTATTTTCCTGGGTATCACTTACCCGGATAAGTGATACCCATCTCCTAGGTGGGTAAATAACTTTCCCACGTAGGGGGGAAGTTGCCAACACTTGAATGGGACAAAAATGCCCCTTTTAATAATGGATTTGTATGGCTAAAATGGTCATTGCCTTGTTTACATGAGAAATAAAAGAACATGGGTAAATGCACTTACCCGGGTAAGTGTTTCCCAGGAAAAACTTACCCAGGTAACTGCATTTACCTAGGTAAATAACTTACCGAAAAGCGAACGGAGCTTAAAAAAGAGGGAGAGATTCCCTCAAAGATATGTTTACAATTACATAGCTATAGTAGTAATAAAATTACAAGTTACCAATAGGACAAAAAGGAAACGCTGGTCTTCTATAGATTTCTGTTTCATGCTTCTCTCTTCGTATTTGCCGATCTCTCAACCCACTGGATATTATCCACCATTTCCTCAAATAATCTTAGCACCTTCCTCATGTGATTTCTAAGCTCCCATGGACCTTCTTGCTTGTTTCTAATCCATCCCATAATCACCTTTGAATCTCCACAACTGGGTTGCAATAATTACAGGTCGTTGCTATATTTAGTCCTTGGAGTGCTGCCAACTAAGTGTAGAAGCATAACTCAAAGAAAAGAACAATAACCAAATGGAATGATCTATAATTTTAAGGTTCTTTACTCACATATTATAGATTTGTAAAGGAGTAGAGTCCTCAAGTTTCATTTCAATGTTGGTATTTGTGGGTGTCTAACATAGTTTATACTCACATATGCTTTATCTTCCTATTCTAGTTTATCTCTTTGTTTTTTATGCTATTATCTTTCAGTTTAACCCGTGCATGGTTGAAATATTTCTTTCTTCCAAGGTGTCTGCAAAACTACTATAGATCAGTTGATATTACTAATTTTGAAGAATGGTTAAATTTGTTAGAGCATGTTCGTGCATAGGTGATCCCAGATAGTTGGAATGAGGCTTAGTTCCGTATTTGCTGACTTAGTTTAGTTTATTCAGGTATTATGATATGGAGATGCATTGCTATCATATATGAAACTAGAACTACCTGAAATTTTTTAAGATCTGTTGCAAACAACTTCAGTGGGAAATTTTTGTATCCTGATGCTCCTTATCTGTTTCCTATTTGTTTTTTTTTTTTTTCCAAACTAGAAAATGCACTAGTTTATCTACCTAATTGACAGGTTAATCCAAAACATGGTGATACAAAGGATTTTCTTTTTCCCTTTTCTTTCTTTTCCTTAAACAGGCATGTATTTGAAAAGAAATCTGTGGACTTGATCTATTATAAGACTTCCCATCAACACAGGTATCATGGTACTTAGTTTGGCTCTTAGAATTACTTGGGAACCCTTCCATATCTGTTGCAGAAGTCTACACAGAATATTTAACATATTGCTAAATGCTGAATAATAATTGTTATCAGAAGTTTATGATGAAACAAAACTGCATGTATATTTTTGTTATTTCTCAGTTTTATCAAGCTCTTTGATGAGAATATAAGTTAATATCTTCTAGGGCAAAAATATGGTTCTTTTGTACCTCACCCTTAAAATTGTTTATTTCTTTCTTATTCCTCCATGCATAAGATGCCATTCTAATTCATCTAGTATAGCATAAAAGGAAAGAAAAACAATTGTGCTTTGGTGCAGTGTGGTGTCTGGCACAGCCTGCTTGGAGCCAATTTTTGTCCTGGATTTTACAAGTTAAAAATGTTTTACTTTGGATTAAGAACAATTTTAATAGGTTCTTCTTGGTTGTACAGGAGTTTGACACATCGTATGGTCCAGCTTGGCATTGCATTGTAGGGACAAGCTTCGGTTCATATGTCACACATTCTCTAGGAGGTTTCTTGTACTTCTCCATTGACAAGATCTACATCCTTCTCTTCAGGACTGCTGTTGAACCTTTAGACCAATGAAATTACTCAGCATCATCATCCAAGCCTCATCCCAAGTATATGGAGTTGGCTAGAGTGCTAGACCAATGAAATTACCACGAACTTAAATTCTACAAGCACATATGCAAGAATAGACCCATAAGGTTTATTAACACGTAAAATTATGAAACTGCGTTAAGATATCATCATGTCTTATTTGCTTTACCATTCCATGGAGGGTGAAGTCCTGAAACACATTCTAGAACCTTAGATCACTAGCACATACTCCATTTTGCAACTCAGTGCTTTGTTGTGATGGTGGTACATCATAATATAAACTTTAAATTCACTCTACAACTGTGTGTTCCGTGATGCAATATTGGCTTCTCACGGGGCAAGTTCTTAGTTGCTTGGTCTGCATATTCATATGTAAGAATGTGCGTGTATATAGAGCTGTATGAACAAAGGATGTCATGTTCATTATATGCTCACGAGGGGAATGCGCTTCATTTTGAATTTGAGGCCTGTTATTCTGATTGAACCGAAACTCCTTTCCTCTCAATCAAGGCGTCAAAGCACAGTGCCAGACTCGGTCAGCTAGATTAGATTGGAGACATTACAGCTTCCGGATCAAGCAAGCGTTTGGCCTCAGTTATCTGAGTCATATGGTGATTCAGCTGAAACATTACGGCTTCCATCTACTATATGGCAAGAGACAATTCATTTAAAACATGACACAAGGCTTCTTATCAACCGGTTATTACCAAGCCAAATACACCATTAGTGGGAGTTTTAGGGGGTGTTCTGTAGTGTGAATGAGAAATTGGTGGATGTAGACCGGTCAACACTACATCATATGATAGGGACCAATCCACACCATACTACACTCACAGTGGTGTTACATAACCATACTTTTTTGATTCCGTGCATCTCATATCATAAATATCTAATTTTTGTATTTTATATGATAAATATTTTGAAAAAATGCATCAATGAATTAATATTAATCAATAAATATTAATTTTTTTATAAAACAAAAGTAAAATAATTAAATTAACATGCTTGAACTTGACCCCCTTAGACCCCAATTAACCAAACTACCCTTATCCCTATTATCAAAGCTGACCAAACTTTCTAATTTAACCTAATTCGAAGGAGGCACTATTCATCGCCTTCCAATGAGAACAATAGGATGGAAACCAAAATCTCTCTCTCTGTATTCCTTATTCCTCCTATTCGTCTCTTCTTCTTCCTCTCCTCCCTATTTGCATTGCTCTCAGACCGTCGTCCAACTCTGCTCTCCAACCATAGAGGAGACTTCACAGCCACAACATCTGCAAGTCTTCCTTCCATTTTCTTTGCAATTTCACACTTTTTTCTCCCATTCTCTATCATCTACACCGACTCCCTTCACCATTCTTGGCCTCCTCCAACTATTTATACACCCCCTTTGTTTTCCTCCATTGGTTGAGCAAAATTGAAGTCAACAGCCATCACCTAAACCATTTATCAAGGTATCAGACAAGAGTCACACTCGAAAGAATTACCCCTCTCACTCACGTCTCCATGTGTTTTTCCCGTTAGTACACCCAACCAAACGAGTCTTTTATTTGTTATTGATTATTTCATTTGATGATAAAGATATTACTCCAACTTCAACATAGAGCTCAAATCGTCGCCTTCCATGGGGTTGCTCCATTAGGGCCTTAGGCTACATACAATAAATTCCTTCCCGGACTGAAAAATGCTTGAATAAAGCCAATCAACGAGTCTTCTCAACTTTAGCTAAATCAAAAATGTTTTAGCTGCCTCTTTCTTTTTCCATTATTCACTGCCTCCTCCCCACATTATTCACTGCCTCCTCCCCACATCAGCTAAATTCCTTCCATGGGGTTGCTCCATTGGTGAATGCTGAAGGCCTCCTCCCCACATTATTCACTGCCTCTTTTCTTTTTCCATGCACCCTGCATTTTTTACTGAGAAATTTTACAGCCGAGAATTTTAATTTAGAGTATGCCAATTAATTTTGAAATTCACATCGTACTGTTTGCTGAAAGCTAAATCCACTTATCTAGGTTCAAAATTATAATTTTTTTAATGATTTACACTAAAATTTCTACAGCTTCATTAAAAGAAAATGTATAAGCAACTGGATAACCTGAAGATATATATGGGAAAAAATAGGAAATATGCCAATGCAACTTATTTCAAAATCCAAAAAAAAAAATCAGAGATAAAAACTTAAAGTCAAAATCAAACCAGCGCTTGCTCTCAGTCGAATGGCCAAAGCTTTCCACATCAGAACCTTGAGAAGGAACCCTCTTCATGGTTTTATCAGAAGAATCACTTCGATGCTAGACGAAGCCTTCATCTTCTCTTTAAGAGTGGGTCTGACTGATTAATTGCCTGGAGCAAACCAAATCAAATCCCACTCTTAAAGAGAAAAGTCATCAAGCAACACCCAGAATAAAAGAAACCCTCCGACCCACAAAGAGAGCAAACCCTCCCTTCGCTTCTCTTCAGTGTGGTTAAAGCAAAACGATCATCATCGAGCACACCCACTTGTTTTCCAATCAAAGGATCAAATAAAACAAAACAAAAAAAAAAAAATTCAAAAACAGATTGAGAGAATCACGTCTAGAAGAGTTTTTTTTTAGAGAGAACGAAAATGACTAATGAAGGATGCTTTCATCGGTTCGATCATAACTATGGTTAGAGAGAAAAATTACAGGGATTTGGGAGAATAGGGGAAAAGAGGGAGAAAAACCTTTAAGACGAATGGCAACAAAATTAGGGTTAACAAATTTTGGGAGAGATGGTGGCCAATTTATAGCCTTACACTGAAATTAGGGTTTTTGGTTCAACTGGACATTACGGCACAACAAATCAGCCTCAACTTTTCCATAAACTACGCAAATGCCCCATAATGTCTCATGAGTCTTCGATTCTTCGCGAGCCCAGTTGGGCCAACCGGCCAAGCTTCTCTATTGTTTGTTTAAAGAAAAAGGAAATTTTTACTTTATTATTCTGAACTTTGGGATAGTTTCAAGTAAGTATCCGAACATTAAAATGTTTTAATGCAGTACCCAAATTTTTAAAAATTGTCGATTCGATCCCTGTCATTAGTATTCCATTATGTTTGTCGGTCACGTGATGACTTAAATTTTTTAATATATCTGAAATACCCTTTGAATATAATTTAGGATCATTTTACCCTTTTCAAATCGATTTAATATTTCCCCCAAATATACGGTTGGTGTGGTGAAGACTGGGTGTCGCCGCCATTATCGTAGCAGAAGCTATGGACTTCCGATGGCCTCAACGGACCTCGCCTCCGCTAAATATCATGGCATGGTGGTGCCGCCCAATTTTATCTTGATAAATTATGCCAATCGTTGCTTGTTTCAGTCCTTGGTGTGCTTGCGGAAAACCAAAGAGAGATAGAGCTTGCAGGAAAACCAGAGAGAGTGCGCCTGCGGGAAAACGAGAGAGAGAGAGAGAGTGCGCTTGCGGGAAAACCAAAGAGAGGAAAACTAGAAAGAGAGTGTGTGGACCTACGGGAAAACCAGAGAAAGATTGGGAGATTACTAGTAACAAATCCATCATTAGCGTGGAGAACGACCCTAATGTTGGACGAAGTGGAGTGAGTAAGATAAGGGAGGTGAAAGTGTTTTGCGTATGTAATCAATCAGTAACAAAGCCACCATTTCCCAGGTAAAGCTTATTGTTATTGTTAATTTATCACATGCACTTCCTCTTGTTTCTATAATTCTTTCCACTATGCTTTTTCACTTATTATTTATTCGTCTATGGATCTTCATCTTCAACTCTGCCTTTTCACTTCACAGGTTATATGCTCAATGCTCTGAAAAAAGTTCCTTTTTTTTCATGAAAGGCCCTTGTTCTGTTTTCTCTTGTTTTAGTTCAACTGCAACTCTGAACAATTTGTATTAGTTTTTTGTTTGGTGGATAGATTTGTGGATTTCGCTGGCTTTTGACTCCGCTCAGAGAACACATATGGTTGTGAAAATTTGAGAGTAATTTAAGAGATTCTTCCTCTTTTTTTTTTTTTCTTCTCTTATCTCTCTATCTACTCTTGTGCTGCAGGGCCTGGGTTTTCAGGCGTTCATTTGGGAACTCGTATTGTTAAATCTTATCTGGGTTTAGCCACGAAACTTCACCACCATATTCTAACTGTCAATGTTGTGATAGAGTTTTAAGGCTTCTATTTGTTCTCCGATTGGCATATCCTATTCAGCAACAAATCTAACCAAGAACTGATGTTTCTGTGAGATGATTATAATAGAATAATTGTTACGATGTGAATATGTTTGTAGATCGTTAGAAATCTGAGGTGTTGGAAGTAGAGTGAGAAATAAAATTTGGGCTATATCATTCAATTCATCTCCACCTTACTTTAATGGTTCACCCAGAACATAATGAATGGATTTTTGTTGAGCTTCCTTGGTAGTTCTACTTTGAGGACTGCTTGTTAGATGAGACTAACGAGTATGTTATGTTTACTCTAACAAATCAGACCAATTAGATCTCTGTCAAGCACTCTGTTGAAAGAGAATGAGACCTACGGAAGGTAAGAGCAACTACAGAACACACCGGGATTTTATGTGAAGGATAAGAGCAACCCTTCTCCATAGAGGTTTCTCTCTGGCAACGACTGAATACACTGGGATTTCTCTCCGGTAACGATTTCTAAGAAGAGCTCGTTGGCGGCAAATGTTGCCACTTCGAACAGGACCTCTAGTGTTTGTTCTCTCTTTTATGAACCGCTAAGGTTATTTTGTCATTCCACTTGTTTGTTAACGTCAGTTAACGGTTTGGGACCAAATTGACAGTTTTTCAAAGTTTGGGTACTGCATTGACACATTTTAATTTTAATGTTTGGGTACTAACTTAATGCTACTCCCAAAGTTTAGGATATTAAAATGAAATATTCCCTAAAAAATACCACAAAATTCTCAATGGATTGTAGAGCTGTCAATGGATCGGATCTGATTTGGGACAAGGTGTACACCATCCTCATAATTAATCGGTTATTCGAAAGAAAAAATAAAAATGTTAATTATTTTTAATTTATATATAATAAATTAATAGATAGTATAATATATACAGTTATATATTTTATATTTATAAACTATAATTAAAATGATTTGGATTGGAATATTGGATGAAGTTAAATCCGAATCCAATCTAAAGATATTCAAATCAGATGTTGGACCAAATTTTGGAATTTCAAAGTCCTTAACAGCCCAAAGCACAGTCCAACCTGAGCCTGAGGTCAAGTTTGATCTGCTCAACCCAGGCACTGCTTGTGCTGAAATTTGACATACATGTGTGTATGACTATGTATGTGTGTAGTTAAGTCGGGGTCAGGTGAAGCTGAAGCAACAAAAGAAGTAAGCATGGACTCAACCCAAAAAATAAGAAAGCCCAAAGTTTAACGACTAGGCCCAGGCCATGTAAAATTGCAGACTGGGCTAATCTGTTGAGCCCACCCAAGTTACACCCTCAAAGAAGAGAATGATTTTTCTTTTCTTCCTTGGCCAGAAGCAAACCCATTGGCAAAGGTGCTCCTACAGCCACAGGAAGAAGCCTACTTCGGCAATGGTTGGTTGAGGATGTTGAGGTGCTCCAATGGCGAGAAACCCTGCAACCCTCAACAAACAGCAACCCAACTCTGTCACTTCCTGATGTTCCTAGACTCCTAGCAAAATTAAGGCTGCGTTTGGTTTAAAAGAAAAAGGTAGGGAAAGGAAGCCGAGTTTTGGGTTAGTTTAATTATTTGGAGATCGATATCAAATTCGCCAGTGGCATTGGTGTATATCATATTGTATAGGTTGCGAGGCTGACCACAAAAATACATACATGGCATGACTCTTGAATTTGAATTTGTATCAGTCAATGTATATTACTGTTTCTTCACACAAACTATTAAAGAGGCATTCTCCAATGTGATTGTTTTTCTTGTCGTCATAAAAACCATGAGGTTTGAAAGCAGAGCAAAAATACTGCAAACATGTTCTTGATTCTGTATGCATTTTTTGTTTTCAAAAGTTTGAAGAGTGAATTTGGTTCTTATTTTAGAAAACACAATTTTCATGATTTCAAAGACATGATTTTGCTTGGAAGCGATATGGCAAGCAAGATGATTTGGTGAGGAAGGTGATGCAAATTTTGCATCAACTTTCGAGATGTAAAATTTTGCACTGTTAATGAACTTTGTTTCACATACTGGTGCAAATTGTAGTTACAAATAAATGGATGCAAAACTGAATCAGGTGCAAAATTTATATCCAGTTAAAATTTGCACTGCTTTAACGTATGTGTATATGTATCATCAGTATCCATACATATCCAGAAGTTACCAAGGTTGGGGAATGGAATGGAGCAATGAATCATCAAAATTCAATTCAATGAATGTAATGAGTGAAAGCCTAGTGAAGTGGAGGTTGGATAAACCAAACAAGCCTTTTCAGTTTGGTGAAAGCCTATTGAATTTGAACTGCCTCACTGCTCCCTTTCTCTCCTTTCTGAGGAGCCAAAATCGGGTATTCTGCAGGGTTCCCACCAGCAAGGAACCGTCCCAAAAGTTACAGAAGGATGTTGAGGTCGAGAGAGTATACACCATATATTGAAGAAGAAAAGCCATGTACTGCCCTACAAGAGAAGCACGCTCCAAAGTAGAACCACAGAGAGCAGAATGCTTGTAGTAAAGCTGCCATAGAGAATCCGTGAGGGTGATCCAGAGGCTGTCGAATTTGAAGATGGGGCGAGTAACGTGCCATTAATAGTACCATTCTTGCCACCACTATGCGCATAAAAGAAGATAACAGTCAGTGACATAAACATGACTGAATGAGCCACCAGAAAGGAAGAAAAAATAATGAGGTTGAAAACATAGATGAAGGGGAGAGGTGAAACGGTTGTTCAAACAGGAAACAGCTAGTTCATGCATCTCCATAAGATTTCATTGTTTCCAGCTCAAACTTTTTTGTTAGTTCATGCACGCACGGTCACAAAATGTAAGCATCAAAAATTGAACTAACATACTTTTTTACTGAAAAGTTGAGGATTAGATTTTCATCTTCTAGGGATTATATTATAAAACCAACTTCTGGAAGACATGGGCTGCCTGCACTTCAGAACTGCATTTTATGAAAACCAAAGTTACAAGTTTTTTGGTTTAAAAAATGCACCAATGCTACACACGTAATGGAGGACTTCATCCACCAAAATTTGGTATAACATCATTTTCTAAGGTTTAGGTAACATATAGTAAAAGCAAACATTAATGGGTTATTTCCTTACCTTCCCAGAAAAATACAGGAACCATGACCTGCACCAAAGAAACACTTGTCAGTAACACTTGAAAATAATCCATCTAGGATTAAAAGCAAAATTACATGCATTCTACAGGTGTGGTTCTTTTACTTGGGTCTGTGGTGGTGATTGTAGCCACACCATTGAAGTAACAAGTCCCAGAAGCCATCTCCATCTGGTGATAATATGCATTAAAAGCATAGGTTGCATGAGCATTAACTGTGTCAGGTTCATAGCACGGCTGCCCCTGCAATAAAGGAGAGCAATCCACCTTTCCAGGACCACAGGCCCAATCCAGTGCAGCCTGAACCATCTTTGGATCAGCACTATCCCTTGCAATACAATATGTCTGGTTTGTTGTGTCATTTGCCAACACCATTCCGGAGCCTGTTAGGTGCAGGATATAAACTGGTATGCCATTGGCGTCAAACAGTCCCCAGTTCTTCTCTGAGAGTGGTCCAGGACTCAGATCCTCATTGTAGAGCTCATAAATGTAGGTACTAACTGGAACTCCAGAGTGCTTGGGTGTCCCAGTGTTGTTGAGCACATGCCTGATCAGATTGCTGTTGTATGAGTTGGCATTGTCAAGGGTGGCATCTGGTTCATTGTTGTCACCCTTGGAAGGCCACCCTGACTCAGTTACTACAATGGGAACATTTGTGATGTTAAGATCAGCCATGGAAAAGTAGGCTGCATCCACTATGGCATCAAAAACATTGGTATAGTGGAGCAATGTGTTTGCATCAACTGCTTCTTTATTTGGTGGGAGGGGGCGGAAGAGTGCATAATCCAATGGGATAACTCCATTTGATTGCATGTAGTCATAATAAGGATAGACATTAAGCATGAGGTATGATCCTGTGGACTGTAAGAACTTGAGCAAGGGGACCATGACTGGGTTCCATGAATGATTGAAGAAGGCCTGGGAAGGAGGGAATGAGTCAAGGATGATGGAAGATGAATGTGGTGTAGAGACTTTGATCTGGTTATCAAGGTTTGAGGCAACTAGGGCAGAATGGATGAACTTCAGGGCAGAGACAAGAACAGGGGCTGCATTTGGAAGAGTTGTGAGGACCTCAGATCCAACCGCAATGGCTGTGATGTTAGTGGCAGGGACATGTGCAACAACATTGCGAGCAACCCAGTTGGCTGCGGTGGCATTAGACTGACCTACACCAAGTAGTTGATCATTTGGGACAGAGACAGTGACACGGATGCCAGTATTGGCAAGTGCGAGGAGCATCGCACGGTCAGCATCATACAGCCTTACATGCCGAATCTGCTGGGCTCTTAGCAGGGCCACCACCTGAGTTGGGTCTGGCATATCAGAAAGGGCTGTGCCAATGTTGACACCAATAAAAGCATCTGAAAGATAAGACACAAAAACACAGGATGCGTTCAGAAATGCACACAGTAATGGAGGAAACTGTCATCATCCAAACAGAGGCATCACTTAGAATGACACATAAACATCATATTGTCGTATAGCTGAATGGATAAATTTTACCTGGGCTTCTTACTTTACACAATTTGGATTTTCTTCTTTTTCCTCCAGGTGGAGATTAAAGAAAAGCCTGATGAGCTGCAGGACATGGCCTTTTGACAGCATTTCTCAAAGCATGCATCACAGATGATGGACAAGCATGCAATACAATGTAACCATTACTGCACATAGAAGAAGTTCCTTGGACCACTGCATTTGGGTCCAGCAGAGAGATATGCTCAAAAGACCAAAAGGACAGTCAACCCCATCACAGATCCTAATCTACTTAGCATCAGGCCCAGTCCTAAAATCTGTTATTAAATTGTTAGGATTGTGGTTTCACTTTCATCACTAGAGATAAATACTTTGTACTCATGCATTGCCTTAGTTGAAATAGTGCAAAGCTCATAAAGATGGAGTCACCACCACTCATCAAATGGGCCACATCAAAACAATTTGAATTTGACAGAGAAGAAAATCAATCCAATTGGATCATGAATCATTCATCAAATTTTCTGTCATTTTACAGTATTCTTTTAAGTCCCCACCCCATGTACCCTCTCTCTTACACACATTCTTTGTATGTAAGTTGGCATTTCTTACTCCTCTGTTCATGAATATACACATAAATGATGCAGCTTACAAATAGTACTATGCCAGCTGTAATGGGCATGCTATGGAATTAAGGAGGCACAATCCGACAAATTGGACTTGGAAATCTGGACCAAAAAGTATTAATGTGGAGTTCCATAAATAATCTAACCATGCAACATGATGTCTTTGGCCAGACCCCAGAAAATATAATTACAAGAGACCTTTTTCATGAGAATGGCAGTTTTGTCCTGACTCATTTGACACAATAGCAAGCAGAACTTATGGGTAATAAGGTCATTTCCAGGTCATTTCTTTATTTCCAAAAGTAGGGTTTTACTTGTTAACATTGAGGTAGGTGGATATTAATACTTCAGTTAAGAGCATCATATTACCATTTTAACATGATGGGTAGGTGACAAATGCAACATTTACAAGATACCCAGAATGGCCCAAGGCCCACCCACCATATATTTCTAAAGCATCAAAAGCAATAAATGAATGGTCATGAATCATGATATAGAGATAATAATAGTATATTAAGGCCTTTTTTAGTAAAACTCAATCCATTAATGATGCCAAGGAAATGTACAGATTTAATATTATTTTAATCAGGGATGTGATGGAATGAATAATGGAAAATGATATTGCACATTTAAGAGTCAAGATTTCGTGATCATATTAGATTTGGACGGTTTGGAAAAATGGGCAAGCATGCAAATCAGCATCACTTGTTGGTACTAATGGACTACCCAACTAATGCAAGCAATATTCATCAGGACCAGGTCCGAACTGCCTAGAAATGACTATCATGTCCTCTGTTAGTTGTGGCTTTGGTTGAAGTTGAACAATCGAGGGATATTTTGGTCACCTTAGAAATATAGAGGGTCATTGCCATAATAGAACAACATCTGTAGAGACTCATGGTTAAAACTTAAAATATCTGAAACAAAACAAAAACATGGTGAGCAGCTGTGAGGCAATAGTTTTTGGGTCCTATTGTGCACCCACAAATTGAAAAGGCCATACGTGCATACTTCAGAGAAGGGAGAGGGTACTTGACTAAGGTCATATTGGAGATTTTACTGGTGAACGCAGGCAGGGCCCCAGGAGATTTTTTTTTTTTTTCTTTTCAATAAATCTACATCTACTGCTTTTGTGTGCAGAACAGATTAAAAAGAACCTATTCCATACCGCACAAAGTTAGGACTTTTAAAAACCCAAACATCACTCTTTAGTCTTTACCGCTTCATTTTCATGGCTAACCAGCTCAATCTCGCAGAAAATGAGAACACAAAAGCAAAATGGGAAAAAAACTGAACTTTTTTCTTTTCAGCTTTGGCTTGGTTACCTCCAAAATAAACCCCCGAATGGGTTTTGTAACAGAGATTAATCATGAATCATCATGAAAGAGGTCTACAACATAGCTCAAGCAAAAGGGGAGCAAAAACCAGATCAAAATGCCCACGACCCATCAACAAATGTTTACAGAAACAAAACAGATTAAAAATGACTATAAAAACAGCCCAATCATAACAAATGTATAAAAAAAAGGTCCACAGCTGCATAAATGAACCCACTAACAGACACATCCAAACGGAAACGTCAAAGAAGAAGAAGAAGATGAAGAGGAAGGAAGAGACAGAGAATGAAGAGAAGAAGAAGGGAGCGCACCTTCAGCAGTAACAAGAGAGACAGCCAAAAGCAAAAGAAGCAGCAGGCGAGCCATATACAGATTCTTAAGATGCAAAACCTCAGTCTTGCACAAACCAGACAAACCACTGAGGAATCGGAGAGAGATACCCAACAACGAGAGAGTGACCAAAAAAGAAAACCGAAGAGAGAGAGAGCTCTGCTTTTCAAGTGGTGGTGGAGTGTGGTTGTGGGTGCTGGAATTGGAAAGACGGGAAGACCGAAGTCTGAGGAAGAATGGAATTAGAAATAGGAAAAATTTTTTAAGGGGGGTTTTATTGGTTGATTTTGCCGTTCTGGCCTTCTGAGATGTTCTCAGTCTCACACATCACGTGTGCGTTTGTCAGAGATCAGACGGTTGTGATACACCGGTCAGGACCTCAACCAACCTTGTACCCTTCCGGTCTATCCAGTCGGACCGGAATGGCATGAATCCTCAACCTCAACTCAAGCTGGAAGCTGCTTCCTTCCTGGCCTCCTGCTTCGGGAACGGGTCCAACTGGACATTTCTTTCGGCTTTCCGGAAAAAAAGAGCCAATGTTCTAAGTTGAGCAGTAGAGAGAAGTACATCATTCTCCGATGAAACATGAAAAGAAAGACTGAAACTGAAAGTGCTCCCTCCATGTTTATTTGAACGATCTCGGATCTCGGATCTCGGATATCGAATATCGGATCTTCTACCCATATGTTCGGCTGTAGCCAAATCTGGATCTTCTCCTCTTTAAAAACAGAAAATATGTAGGCCTGAGCCCAAGTCCAGCCCGACCGTCGGGTCTAGATCTTGAATCTGATTCTCGCCTTCATATAAATCCCGGAGCCTGATTTATATATAAAAATGTATAATTTTATAAATTAATATTATATTAATTTAATAATAATTTGATAAATTAATAAACTGATTTATATTTCCTAATAATAAATTAATATTCATTAATAACTTAAGAAACAAATATATATTATATACATTTATTATATATAATATAAGTACTTTTTATTATATATAATAGTATCGAGCCGGATTTATTTGAGAAAGCCCAAACCTGCGGGCCAAAAGTTTTGTCCAAACCTAAAAAATAATGAGAATGCACATCTAAAATGTGCTATGAGGTGAGATGCATTCTGTGAGGAACAGATCTGAACTCTTATTAATTGCAGGCTACTGCATTAAGATAACAGTATTTTTCATGCAATCAAAAACTTTGCACATACTTTAAAAACGTAGGGATCCAACTGTACATTGGAAATGAGCTAATTTCAATGTGTTTTTACTTGCAGGAGATCCAGAGCCTAATATGCCATGCATCATAAATATGTATGTTAAATTTATATGGGGAGATATTTCTAATATATGACTTAATGCTTATGATTCCGAAGTGTGCATAAAGATTGTAAATAAGTCGGATCAAATCCAATTTGAATCCAAATTCGATCAACTAAGAATCAGATTTGGATATCTTATTTGATTCTAACAAATGGATCGAATTGAAACAGTTGATTCATTTAGTTAATGATCAAATTGGAATATATCCCAATTCAATTTGATTTTTCTGTATTAATCAAACAGTTGATTCATTTATTGCAATTCAAATCGAATTGAATTCTAATCAAATATTCAATAAGATATTCGAATTCAAATTCATACCATAATTTTTGAAAAGGGTTCAAATAATTACTATCAAATTCAGATAGATCAGATTTCTTATCGAATTGGATCTGATATACCCTCTGTCGAATCTGATCCGATCCATTTGCAAGCAGACATTAGCAACTTGTACAAATTTGAATATAATACACAAAACAGAAAAGGCTATCGGTCACAAGTCAGACAACATGACCACTATAGGTTAATGAATCTAGTGACCCATGACATCAGATATCAGTGTAAAATTGATGATTAAATAAGATTATTTTAGGTTGTAATACAAGTAAGGTTGAAATCTTTTTAACTTTACAATTTATATATATATATATATATATATATATATATATATATATTAAGGATCAATTTGGAAAGAATGTAAATACATATATACAGTGCACCAAATTTAGAAGTATAAATAAAAGATTTTACACTGTACATATTTATATGGTATACTTTTCAAATAGAGCAAAGAAAAAAATAATAACGTATTAATGCAGGTTATAGGTCTAAATCCTATTGTCATTTTATAATTTGTAACAAATAAATGTCCGAGGCAAGACATCGAAAACCAGTTGGGTTGTTGTCTTGTTGAAACCTGGGTAGTTTTCAATAGTTTTCACCCATTTTTAAAGGGACAGCTAGTTTTTCAGAAATTTGGAAAATAAAAGTTATAAAAATCGGCTTGGTTACCCTCCCTAAACAGTAAACAGTAAAGACATTAATTTCCTTGGCTTTTCTTTCTATTCATGACAAAGCATTTTAACTCTTTGTGCTTAGTTCTTTCCTATTGCTCCATTTCTAAGGAGTTGTATGATCTGATTATTGAAAATTTACATCTAAATTGAATTTGAAGCTCCGTTTGATATAAAGGTCTCATATTCAAATTTTAATTTTAATGAATTCAGATCGAATGTAGGTTTAATTTGATTTTTCTTTAATCTTCTTAAATACATAAAAAATAAAAGTTAATTATTTTTCAACTTTTATATATAATAAATTAATGTAAATGCAACATGTTAAATCTATTCTACATAAATTCAATCTGATTATAATTATCTTTTATAATTTTAAATATAATTATAGAAAAATTATATATTAAAATCAATAAATATTATAATATATAGGATTTGGATTTTAATTGGATCAGCTGCAGTCAAATCCAATTATCAATTAGATGCATATTATAAAATCCAAATTCAATCTGATTACATAAATACATCATATCATTGGCAACCCTAATTTCTAGCAATACATCTAATAATACAATTATCGTTCTCTTTTCTTGAGGCATCAAAATTGTGCTACTTTCCATTTTATCAAATACCATTGCTTTAGATGCTGTGAGTGCAAGTCGTTATTATAATTTTTCATTACAAATTCAATCATAAAATTTGAAATTTGCCTTTTTCTATTACTATTGGAGTAGGAGGCATTTTTCCTTGGAGACCTTTTTATTCTTATTTTTTCCCAAGAGTATCTTAGAAATATAGTGATTGTCTCCCAAAACCTTTTTTTTTTTACTTCAACATTATCCCTCTCCAACCTTTTCCAAGTGGGAAAACCTATGGTGCCAAAAAGGCTTTGACCAATCACAATCCCCTATGAATTTTGATGAAAACCCATGTAATTGGTTATCACTTTTATGGTGCAGATTGGTTGTTTATAAGTTTTTTCTGGCATCATAGTGGAACCCTTTTCAATACCAGTGTAGTCATGCACAACATTTAATGGGATTAACTATTGAAGTCATTCCCCTATTGTCATCCAGCAGGTTGGTAAGATCTCCTACTGGTCATAGCGGGGATTTGGGATCAGATCCCACCTGCACCTAGGTTTGGAGGGTTATGAGTTGGGGAATGGGCTACCCCCGTTGTTTATCCTTTCAAAAGAAATAAAAAAAAAAGGTAAAATTTATACTTGAGTGGGTTCAAATCTCCTTCATTGTAGCTTTTTGTAACTTATGTCATGCACATATATATATAAGTAAAGGTTAAAGAATAAAAACTGGCCTTCTAAAAAAAATAAAAACTACAAAAATGAAAAAAAAAACAATTATAATTTTGAATTTCTTTTACCATGCTGGTTTTAAATGTCATGATCCATTGATTGATTTTTTTTTAAGAAACAGAAATATACTACACACAATGGGGGGTAGTACATCCCCAAAAGTCAACAGAACAAATAAGAAGAGAAGAGGAAAGAGATGAGATGCTAAAATCTAGAGAAGAAGAAGAAGAAAGAGCCTCCCAAGCCAGCCAGTCAGCCACTTGATTTACTTCTCTGAAAACAAGTTGATAATGAAAATCTCCTTTGAACAAATCTCTCCCTCGCAAGCAGATTGAGATAGTACATTTTAGCTTCTAAAGAATATCCACCTTTCTTTTGAAGCAGGAGATGACAAGAGACGAATCTCCCTCTATGATGATAGAAAACTCCCTATAGTTTGTAGCTTGGACATATGCTTCCCATGCAGCCCAAGCTTCATCCTGTTTGATGGATAGGTACCAATAAGGGTGCAGCTTGGGCGGGCCCAGCCTGAGCCCGAACCGGCCCAACTCGGAATTTTACACGGTTGGGCTTGTATTTTCGATCCTCAGGCTGGGCTCGAGCCCAAGAAGTCGGGCTTTTTATTTTTTGGGTCGGGGTCAGGGTCGGGCCTAGCCTTTAGGTAGCCCAAACTCGACCCAAGCCCAAGCCCGGCCCAATTATACATTTATACATATATGTGTATATATGTAAATGTTGCATACATATTTACATATATATTTGTATATATAATATTTGTATAGATATTTTGCATACATATTTACATACATACATAAATGTGTATGTATATTTGCATAAATACATTTATATATGTATAATTTTAGAGCGGGTTCATTAACCAACCCGAGCCCGGCCCGTGCCCGAGCCTAACCCGAGTGCATCAAATTACAAGGTGGGCTAGGCTTGGGTTGGGAAAGCCAGGCTTGACCTCGAGCTCAGGCCGGGCTCGGGCCTTAAGCCCAAAAATTAGGCCCGGGCCTAGTTTGACCATAAACCCGACCCAACCCACCCGACTTGCACCCTTAGGTACTAAGTTTATACGCTTTGATCGCTAGAACCTTACCAAGATGGTCCTAGACTATACAGACCACTGAACATTTTTCACCACTATTGCGAGAGACATCAAAATTTATTTTAATATAACCATATTTTGGAGCATTCCAACTAATTTATTTCCAAAACTTGTGAGATGTAGTAGAGGTACTAAATTTATTTCCATCAAAAGTTTCCATAAACATATTTAAAGCTCTATCTAACATTATTGGAATGGGAATAGTACCATCGTTAAAAGTTTTTGAGTTCCTATTTTTCCAGACCACCCATAGAACAAAAACTAGTTTTTCCTTTATGAATAGAGTTTTGCTTTCTTTTTTAGTGCACATTTTTGTCCACCAATCACTTAGATTTTCATTTTCATTTGGGCCCTCCAAGGGTGTATTTAAAGTAAGCCAAACTTGCTTTGTGTGATCACAAATTTTAAAAATATATTTAGCATCTTCCTCAAGCACACAAAAACTGTAGGAGCCATCAATATTAAATTCTCTTTTCCTCAAGTGGCTTTTAGTAGGCAGTCTATTATTAAACAAAAAAATAGAAATAATTTAATCTTTGGAGGGCATTTCAAGTTCCAAATGCTACTCAATCAATTAAAGTTGCTAGGTGGATTTGAAATAGAGGAACATTTAAGTAAACAAGCTGATTTTGTAGAGAAGGTACCTTAGGTTGCACCCCCCAAACCCTTTTATCCTTCATGTAGTTGGGGGCAATATGAATAGTCTTAATGTCTTGCCAAACATTTTAAGATGCCTCAATCCCTCTCAAAATCAATCATTTTTGCTATTTTACTATTAATACTTGTGATATTTTCATGATTCAAAGTTTCAATTAAAGGT